TCCATTTGTTAACATGGAAATCACACTGTGTACAAATGGTATGATTTCCCAGGTTCAATGAATTGATTGGAAGAGCAGCTGTGTTCAGCATTACCACTGATTGTCCTGTGGCTGATCAACAAGAGCGTGTGTGTGTGTGTGTGTGTGTGTGTGTGTGTGTGTGTGTGTGTGTGTGTGTGTGTGTGTGTGTGTGTGCGCGAGCGTGCAGTCTTATGGGTTAGGGGTTATATAATCGGCTTCACATCTGACAGTCAAGATAAGTGATGGAGCAAAGGGGAGTGTGGGCGACCTGAGGCAGCAGTCTGACATTTCACCTCGTTTTTGTGCTTGGCTGAGCCTGAGGTCGATCACGAGGCATTGAAATCACTGTCTGATTCTACCAAAGATGGAATTGTAGGAACTGACACAAATATGACAAAAATTATGTACTCCAGGTTGGGCAGACTCTGTTCACCCCACCCTTCACTGAACACCAAAGGGGGTTATGTGCACAATAAAGCTTTAGAATAGGGCTGGTCGGAGAAACTGGGCATGGCTACAACATTTTTTCCCTTATGTTTGAGTTAGATCTTGTAACATAAATGTTGTATCTCTAAGTAACAAACTGTTGTTATTTCATAAGAAAGATAATGATAATTAAAAATAATTTCCCATAAGCCTCAATTGTACAGTAGCATGGCTCTAGAGTCTTTGTCTTGTTTTAAAAAAAGAAAAATAGATGACTTCTTCTTTTTTTTGACATTTTTGCCTTTATTGAGACAGTACAGTGAGAGATAGACAGGTAATTCAGGGAGAGAGAGAGAGAGAGGGGGGATGAAATGCAGCAAAGGGTCACAGGTCAGACTCGAACCCATGGCCGCTGAGGTTAGTACTAAGCCTTAATGGTACGCGCTCTATCAGGTGAGCCACCGAGGCGCCTTAATGTGTAACATTGCAAACACTAACAGATCTGTTTGTGTTTGGCATTATATTTTGTTATAGTTACCATTGACACTTTTCAGACATTTTTCAGTTATAGCTTAATGATGCATGTTCATGTGCAAAAGTAACAAGTAAGTTGTTACTGTAAGTACAGTTGTTACCCCTGATCCTCGTCTTCATTCTTTACAACTCCCCCCAACTCTAGCAACTGGCCAACAGTTAGGAAATACAGCGTAACATTACATTAGCACAAGTTAACTGTTATTTATTTTCAGAGTCAGCTGATTCTCCTTATCTGAGATGGAAAAATTCATTCATACAAAAATCACAGGATCTGTAGCTTGTTGTTGATTGTCACCAGTATTATCCTGTGTTATGACCATCTTCATCAGCCCCTATATTAGTTTTTAGTTAGGAACTGCTGATTCATATAACTTCTTATTTCTTTCTGAAACAGTCCTCACTCTCTTCGACTCCCTCTTTCTCCTGAACTCGTGCTCATGTTGCTGTGTAATCCTCTCAAAAAGCCCATATGAAAACTTCATTGGTTGACCAGACATAATCCTCAGTGAACTCTAAGTACCTGAATATGTTTGATTCTAAGAGAGGGAAAGCTGATGAAAAAAAAAAATGAAAAAAAATCAAACTGTGGTCTCTTGCCAGACATTTGGATTCAAAGTATAACATAATCCAGCATCTGACGTAAATCTGTGGCCAATGTGGTTTAAATGATTAATCTGTGAACATCATCTATGACGACAAGTCATTATTAGATACTAATAAACTCTATGAACAGAGAAAAAATATTTTTCATTTCACAAAGTAATACTTAATCTCAAACATTAGTGACTGCTAAACATTGAACATGAACAACAACATAAACAGTGAAACATGCAGTATTTGCTTTGTGTTAATGTGACAATCTTACTTACTGTACACGTTATTCGATCTTTTGTTATGTCAATGATCCTCTGCTGTTTTGATCCTTGAAGAAAATGTATTTTAACTTTATATCAATAGCCTTTTACCATTTTACAGAAGACAAGATAGATGCTTATTTTCTTAAATAAAGAAGAACTAGAAAAAGTCTAAATGAATAGAGCTGGATGGGCTTGCTACTATTGTAGATTTAATGTTAATTTTATTTTTCTATATTTATTGCATAATGTTCTTTAAAACAGTAAAACTCCATTGATCCATGTTGGCAGCTGATCGTGGTCTGCAGCAGTTTAGGAAGTGGGCTCAGAGTAGCTCTTCCCAGCAGATGACAGCCTCATATGTCCATCATTGTCTGGGGACTTGGATGTTCACATCATGAAGGTTCTGGTGTAAGTTTATATTGATTATAAATAAAATAATCTCAGGACTCGTGCATGTAAGATTAAATTAATCCTTATTTCAAGAACATTTCATGACATCGGAAAAGTCTAATCCACAGTTTTTTCCTGCAGATGATCGAATTAGCTGGAATAAATGAGAACGATGTTGATGACGCAGGGGCTGGGTTTGCCCACTGTACATGTGTCATTACCGCATAATTATGCAACAACGCGCTCCACTGACAGGCTGTCATCAATTAATCTGCTTAGAAACACCAAGTGGGGATTCTACTGTATGCTGCAACCTCTGGGTGTTATCTTCATTGCGCCAGTTGAATGTCTACTTCCCTTTTAAATTCGCTGACACACGTCCAGTGGTGGAAGAAGTAGTGAGACGTTTAACTTGAGTATAAGTAGCAATAACACAGTGGAACAAAATTTACTTGCGGAAGTATCGAAATAGACTTATATTGCCAAATGTAAAAGCACTCATTATGAAGAAGGGCCCATTCTAGAACAATATAATGGATTATAATCACTGATGCATGAATGTACACATCACTTTAATGTTGCAGCTGGTGAGGTGGGTTAATTTAAACTACTTTATATACTACTGAATAGCCTAAGCTAAAATCATACGCTAATTTATTTTTTGATTACATTTTGTTTTAATAACCTAAATCTGGAAAGTAATTAATAACTCAAGCTGTCAAACAAATGTAGTGGAGTAAAAGGACAGTAGTCTCCTCTGAAATGTTGAGGAGAATGAAGTAGCATAAATTACACCGTGGGTATTCTGCATGATTATTATGGTTCACATGTAAGATGAGCATCCCACTAATTTTTTTGATGATGTAACACAGAAAAGAAAAAAAAGCAGTGTTAGACAGTGTTAATCTTTTATTAATTAGCCAAGAATTGCTATATTTCTGCAAGTTGTCATTATTTTAGGTTAATCACTTGCAAAGGAAACAAACTGGCAGAACAAAATAATAAATCCAATTAATATTTTCAACCCATTACAATAAAATGGAAATACAAGTTCACAGGATATCACAGAGACCAAGAAGTATACAAAATCTATATTTAACTAAATTGTACAGTAAGGAATACTTGTCATCTGGGCTCTTAACATCTGAAGTCCAAATGTTCTCCACTAACTAATCATTAATATTTCTAAGAACTTCACACTTAAAACTATTCATCCATTTACATGGGAGAGTTAGGGTGTGATTAGGCCTGTTTGTTCTGTTGAGGATTTACATTGAGATGTCATAAATCACATGGATGCAACATGGTGCAGAAATTCAATCTGTGTAAATATTCCTAGTGTTTAAAAAGTGTCCACCTTCCATTTTTTAGGCCAGCAGCTCTTGTAATGATGTTATTCCATTTAGAGACACGCCCCAATCCGACCCTAAGTCTGATCATGTGTTGTTTTTTAGTTACATTCCTCATTATCCTGTGCTATACTAGCTCATATGCAATATTAAAACCACAACAGTGGACAATTTGGTTTTTGAAACCTACTGTAAGAATATTGATTATATGATAACCAGTGCGTTACGGTGTATTGTTTAACACTTTGGTTAGACAACACATTTCAAAGAAATGTCAATGTAATTCCCTGTTTTTTCTATGAGGTCTGTGTGAAACAAAGTCATACATGCGCAAACATTATAATTGTACCATTTAATGACATTCACATGTTTAATTAATAAATGATGAACTAAAATGTGTCTAAGTCCAAATTTTCCAGCCTAATCTTTACTCATTTATTTAATCATTTATAAATTTTATTAAGTAAATACCAATAATGAATTACTCCTCCTTTATTTCATACGCAAATCCGGAGGCGAGAAACACGTCCAGCTCATCTACAGCCAGCGACTAATCTCTAACTTGTTGTGGGGGCTGTGTATTGAAGAATAGTCCTCTTGTGGAGTGGATTAGTGCAGTTCTACTCTGGCTATCCCTCATGACTTCACAGAGCCTGACGGGACATCCGTGGCATGCACACATTTTCACATTTCATCGACAGCTGTGATAAAGAGTGTCCCCAGGCTCCGGTCAAAAACGTCATAAATCTGTGACATTAGCCCTCGGCTATGATGTTTGTTTGTTTTGTTTTTTCTGAATTAATTTCTTTTAGACCTTCCCTCCTCAACCGGAGGATACAGACAGGTAGCAAAAATGTTTGAATGGCTGTTTGCCAAGGGGACTTTTGCACTGAAGACATACTTAAGGATTATTGACAGAGCTCAGATGACAGTCTCTTGGCAACAGAGGTGTTGGCCAGTGAACTAGTTATTTATATCATGCTTCCGCCAAAAGAAAAGTCATGCTACATTGAACGTTTAGGGTAAATAGCTAATATTCTTTAAGAGAATAAATTCCAATATTTGCCATAATGTGCATAATTTGGTTTGAAGCTCCATACTACTTTCCTTGTAGGACTGTTTGTATTTTCAGTCAGCCAACATGAATGACGTCTGTTTTCAGTAAACATTTCTTAAAAGATGAAAATAATCACCTACTTAATAAAAGAAAATTCCAATAAGTTTGACAATGACCTGAGAAATCATGAGTTTGTTATAGTTTGTTACATCCTTTACGAAACACAACTGCAGAAACAATGAACCACAAATCCAGGACAGATGTGTGCAAGGGACACCATTGCTCAAGACGCAACACATGCACATACACTCACAAACAGAAACATGTAGGTACCTGTCAGAAACCACCAGGACAGTAAGAGTGTGTGATTATTGCATGCTCAGTTTATTTGGACTTGTTCTCAATTTGAGGCACATCAATCTTTTCCCCGGTGAGGAATTGCCAGATGCCTCCTCTGTAGTTCTCATTTCCCAAAGCGTACAGGAAGACATTAAAGGTTGGGGAGGTCTTAGCCAGGATAGGAGCCATCTGCAGAGACAGGTGCAAGCACAACAAGGCTGTTAGAGCTTAAAAAGACCTTAAGGAGTGATCAAGTTAAGTCAGGATTCATATGTTTGAATTATAGTGGAATTACATTAGAGAGTATTTGTGTTCATGTACTTATTAGTTGTCCTTACCATCCTGAGCTTAGGGGAGACCAGGTTGGCGTTCTCCACAGCGGCATAGAAAGCCAGGATGCCGTAGGGGCCCCAGCAGAACAACATAGTCTTAAGAGGAGTGTTGGGGTTGAACTGCAGAGGGGAAACGACAGAGAGAGGCAGAGCGGGAGGGATAAAGTGGAGGAAAGAGAGAGAGAGAGAGGGGCAGAGAGGATCAGAACAAGTATGATTAGTCACCAATCAACCATAAAGAGTGAAGGAGACAAAAATGCCTTGTGTTTTTTACTAGGGGGTAAGTCACCCGCCTGGGATAATGTCTGGGAGAAACAGAACTGTGTCTGTCATGCGATCATTCAGGCTCAGCTAGGAACCTGAAAGAGCTAGTGAGTAAAGAGGCAGGTTGTTGTAATCCTGACTCTTTCTGAGTCAGAGCCTACGCATACAAAGCAAAATTTAACTCCATAATATCAAGTTTTCGCCCTTCTTTTCCTTCTTAGGAAGCTTTATAGTTTTTTATAATTTTTATCCCACTGTCTGACAGTGTCATATATATTCTGTTTCAGCTTTTCCAACTCTCCACTGAGGCTGCTGAATGTGATGTTTACATTGAATTAAATATTCAATTCAAAGACCTTCAATCAAATGGAAATATTCTGGACATCCTGTCCTTTGTCTTTCACACATTCGCCCTGACATATTTAGGAGTCCTGACGGTTTGAACAAAATTTGTTTGTACTGAGTTTTCCCATTTGTGGGGGTTGGTGACATGAAGACTCTGAGGTATTTTTGAGGCTAGAGGAACATCAGACACATATTAGTCACATTTTATGGCATACATGTAATGCGCCCTACACATTGGTCGGTGTGTGACATTACATAATTTCATTGTCGTGGTGGAGGGCTTTTGCCGTCTCTACTCTGTGGCTTTTGTGTTTGAAAAGAAAGTGCCTCCAGCCAGCTCAGATGACTGTGAGTAATGGGCTTATGCAACATAAAGTGAGGCAACCTGATTCAGCCCCTGAGGAACTTCGCTATTGAACTGGCCATTCACAGATACATTGTTCTTTTCACTGCACACCGGCTACTGTCCGCATTCCCAACAACTGAAGCTCCCGGTCTTCCTGAGGCAATGACCTATATATGTCGCAGCCTGCACGCCCCCCATTCACTCTGTTTTGTTACTCTGAAAAAGGACCATGTGACGATGTTGTGCTTACGCTAGAAAGGGATGAAATAATTCCTCAGATTCCTTCCAGTGGGTGACGTCAAAACAGGAAGAATCTTTACGTGAACTGCATCGTATTTGTAAGGTTTTGTGCTTTTGGTTTAACTCTTAGTTATAACTGCCAGTTTCTTGGATTTCAGAATAAATTCTTAATTCCTCTGCATCATGTGTGTAATCAAAATTGAGTTTGGAGTAACTGAAGCAAAACAGAGCCAATCTGCCACTGTGTTGATATGAAAACAGAAAATTGCCAAGCCAACTTGCATCTGAAATCTCAGTCTGTATATCTACATCACTTTAAATACAGAATATACTGAATTCCTACTGAAAGGCACCCATTTTCAATCCTATTTCACTGGACTTGGTGGACTTTTTTTTAATACTTACCCTGGGGTTTCCAGTCTTCTTGAATTTCTGTGCAATGGACTGGTAAGAGGACATGACAACAAACATCTGGATGGCCATGTTGAAGATGCTCATGGGGATCAAGTAGGACACATAGTTTCTGTGGAGAGAGAAATGGACAAAAAAATCTGCATAAACTGCTTCTACTTAGGGACAGAAGATACCAAGAAATCTGTATTTATTTTGACGGCCCAGTGAAGAGCAGATGCATGTATACACTACCTGTCTCCCTTGCTGTAGTCCAGAGTGCAGCAGGTCCTGAGCGGTTCGTAGTCGTACTCTCCCCAGCCAATGAGGGGCATGGCGGACCAGAAGGCAGTGAAGAGCCAGATAAATACGGCCAGGGTGATGGCGCTGCTCCACTGCAGCTTTGTTCCTGACAAGAACAGGGTAAAAGAATTCATCTAAACTGCTTTAAACACCTCCAGCAATATGAATATATGCTTGACTACACATTATTCTCAATTTATTTTAAAGGTCAAGCCACAGCACTCTTCAGTCATAGCAAGGCTAACATTTAATTGTGCAATTAGAGCGGTTTGTTTTAACACGTTTGCCTGTAAATGATGTGACAACTGCAGGTTAGGAGTTGGATCACTTTCGTCTTCCGTTGTTTCCTGCTATGTAATGATGGCTACAAATAGCAGTAGGGTCTGATGTTATTTCTCAGAGGTATAGTGTTAACACTCAAGTCTCCTGGGTTGCAGTTCTATTTGGGTATCTGTTAACAAATGTTCTGTTTAGTCATGGTGATTAGAAAAAGTCTGTGGTAACTTTAAAGACAACAGGCTATTTGTTGAAAAGCTTGCCTCTTCAGAGGTCTTAAGATGGGGGGTGGGGGGCAAAGAACAAAAAACCTGCTCAGTGTGTGTGTGGATGTCATGTGTGTGGGAGGAAGGGAAGTGGAAAACATTTGGTTTTGTCATCAGCTGCTCAGGGACTGAAAGCAGGTGTTAACTTACTGGTGCAGTACTGGTGGTATCTGTCCCAGGCAATGGCGGCGATGAAGTGGATACTGGCCAGAGCTGTCATGAAACCCTGGAAACCGTGAGTCTGGCATCCTTCAGAGCCATAAGGCCAGTACCTGGAGACAGAGGGTGTGTTTGTATAGATGAGGTTTTTGAGTCACCAACAAAGAATTTGTAAAAATGGTCCCTCCAAGGGTGAGCTGACTGTAGCAGGGTGCAATATAATAGCTTGATCTAACCAGCCATGGATATATATAAAATATATAAATATAATATATAAAAATAATAATAACAGTATATACAATCCCTGGACTAATGGACACTGAGATCAGCGTCTCTCATCTCCTGATTACAGCTTGAAAATCCTCTGCTTCTGCACATCATGACACAGGCTCCAGCAGTGCATTGACCGCCTCCCCCACCCCTTTACTCTACAGCCTCCCTGTATCGCTTATCCAGCCATATGTAGATTATTCACCTCGAGAACAGGTAGCCATTACTGCCAGCTGTGTTATTTGCTCATAACATGTATTTTGGCCACATACGGTCTGACCTTATATATTGATTACGAAAGAGGTGGTGGTTACATCATCACTCACCTCAGAAAGCTGGAGAAAGCGGCGATGGTGGCGTTCATGGAGATGCCCATATCAGCCATCGCTAAACTGAAGATTAGGAAATTGCTGGGGGTCCTCAGCTCTCTCACTTTGAGGAAAGCAACGATTGTCACCGCATTGAGAAAGAAGCCCAGCAGACCTTTTGGCGGAACAGAAACAAACAGTTCAAATCATGAATGAAAGCAGTATATGCGTCGATGAATGGAGATCAGAGCGCGCGCACAGGCAGCACCGTGACATTTCAAGATGAGACTAATCATCGCAGTCATGTCTTTTATTTACAGACTGCCAGCGGAGGTTAAGAGTAGTTTCGAGAGAAAACTACAGATCCTTTTCTCCTCACAACATTATGCAGTCAGTGACCGGGCGGGCGGCGTGAGGTCCGGTCACAGGTTAATGTCACACACAGTGGGCGCAGCCCTCGTAGTATTTGGCTGAACTCCAAGTGCAAGACGACAACACTCACCCTCCACCAGTAGACAAGATCCCAGGGAGAACACATCAAACTCGGAGAAGCCCTCGGGTAAAGGGTAAGACGCAACCATCCTGAAGCCGAATTGACTCAACAAAGTGCAGCTGTCACTGACTTTTCACTCCTCTCTGTCCGCTCGTTTACGATGTGCCTCAGTGTGACTGAAGAGAAGAGCCCGCTTTTAAAGGGGCATTTCACGTGAAAAGCATGCACTTTATTATGTAAAGCCCCCCTCGCTCCGTGTCGCCCCAATCCGTGCAGGAATGTCTTAATGAACATAACCACACAAACCGCAGCCCTTAATGCGTATTTGCCCACCGCAACAGTAAAGCCGTCAATTAGTTACACAACAAGCCTTTGTGTCTGTGAGAGAGGATGCTGATGTCGCTGCTGATGTCAAACGAACAGACGCTTGATGCAGCCCGTAGGGTCTGTGTCGCTTTAAGGAGACACAACAGGTGTCTGTGAAGCTGCAGCCTCCTGCCAACCAGAAATACACTCACATCAAATGAGGAGACAAAGCCCTCAAAGATTTCCTCCATGAACAGTAAGCATTAGTGCAGGCGAGTGCATGACTCTTTGATCCAAGGTTACATCCAGGGCCGACAGTGTTGAAAATATAGGCTCCATGTGAATAAGTGTAAAGACATGTCTCTTATCTGCTGGCAAAAGATAATAATACATAGATTTATTATTTCCAGATTTCAAGCCTCCTCTATGCACATCAACGCTCTGCAGTTTTTAAAAAATGAACCTGATGTGTTTCAATTCATTACAGTAACTCTGCCCATTCTCTGATTAATGACAAAGTGATTATTGTGAATACACTACACAGGATCCATGTGAGTATTGTTGTTCTGGATCTTTATTAATCCTTTGACCCATATGGCAGGACTTTTGTTTTGACTAGTGAACATGAAACTGGACATGTCAGCATTTTGTTTTGTGGGACTCTTTTTTGTTGTTAGTTTCCAGCAGATAATAAACCTTTTGACAGGCACACTGACCTCAAGAGATTAAACCAACTCTACATCTGCTGGAAATGATAAGAAGACAAAATAAAAATTGCACTTTTTGGAGCTGCAGACACAACAGAGGCTTGATTCGGTTTGTTTTTTTTTTTTTTACTGTGTAATACTGGCAAAATGTGGCGTACAATTAAAGTCTGTGTTCCAATTCAGTTTTAGCTACGTAAAAGTGTGTAAATGACACAAAATCCTGCCATCATCCCCAGTCTTCAATGGATTTGTCATATTTCAGTTGCGACATCATTTGCAGCTTTTCATGCCATAGGCCTGGAGGGGGAAACAAACCTGACATTGTGTGGCTGAGGTCTGTCTCAGTTTTAGGATTATAAGATCAGGAATCTTATGAAATATAAGTGAAAATGTAAAAAGTGTTAAATCATATAGAAATGCAAATGGTCCAAGATCCCTTTATTTTTTATTTTATTTTTGGACACTTTACATCTCCATCTTATGATAAATGGCTAATTTGGTATATTCATTTAAGCACTTGTATAGCAGATTATTTATGTGGCCATAAAAATAAAAATAATCATTAAAGTATCTGTTAGATCTGAATATGGAGACACTGTGAGGAAAGACTGAATTTCTTTCAGTCGTCTTATTGATGTTGAAGAAAAACGCCCAAATCCCTGTGTCCTCAGCTGACACCTAAGTGTGCAGCTCTCACATTTTATTTCTTTGATAAGTACTAAGTGTATTTATTCTAACATTACTGTGTTATGTCTGTTCTTATGAGACTTTTTACACACTAAGAATGACATAGCACCTTAAATAAAGCCCAGTCTTCTGGTTCATACAATATAAAAAGGGCGGCTTTATTGGCCTCAGTAAATAAGATTAAGGACTTGCAGTGCAATATGGAATGTTTAAGTTTTTCAACTCGATTGCTCAACACGTTTAGAGCCTATTTACTGAACTGCACGGTTCCAAAACCGCACATACTGAAAGACCTGTGACCCAGAGGGATTTAATACAAATGGTTAAACTGTGCAATAAAACTAAGATACATCTAAATCTACAGGATGGGTGAAGGAAGACTTAATATGAGGCACACAACACACAGACACAGAGACAAAGAGAGAGACCACAGTATATTGAAGATTTCCAAATAAAGAAATGAATCTGCTATTATTAATCTATAATCTCTTTTAAACTTTTTGTTGCGTACTAAAACCTCTGACCTGGCTCTGTGGTTAAATGTGGGTCAGATGTAAAAAAAAAAAAAAAAGTTCTGGCTGCCAAGTTGTTCAAACACATTAAAGGCCCCTGAGTTTCACCATCTCTTCAGACCACAGTCGGCACGCTTTGTAGTGCCAGCCAAGTGTTTACGCTGAACTTCCAGTGTGATGAAATAAGAAGGGGAACACAAGGGACAGGTGCCAAATTACATGTAGTATTTACCTACATTGCAAAACAAAAGCTTTACAATCTGAGGTATTTTTGACCCAGTAGTAAGGATTGTGTCTTAATTATTTACTGAGAGGAAACCTAAAGGCCACTGCGAGTCTCTCTCATTAAAACAGTTTTAACATACAGTTCTTACTATTATAGTTTTTTTTCTTTTATTCTGACAATTTGTGTTGGATTAGAAAATACTATTAAGTTTCCTGTTGGTGAATAGACTGTGTAATTTATGTGCAGAAATGTAAGGAATGAAATGGGAGGAGTGATAAAAGGGGGGAATCTGAATGGAAAAAAGGATGATGTAGGTCTGATTGAGCACAATACTTAAGTATTTTTATTTTCTGCCCGAGAAACATTGTGGCTTTCTCATCAGTGGTTCAGGCCTCACCAGCAGGGTATATTTATTTTATTTTGGATGAAAAAATATATAAAATATCTGTTTTTAAATCAAAATATCATCTTTGCTTTCTAACACCAGAGCTATTAGTTGCTTTGTGATAAAAAAATATTTTAAGGATGGCAGAGTCAGAGAATGTTTAGTGAACATCTGTTGAGTGCACATCCCAAGGTAGGAGCCACAGGCTATGATATAGGGGCCACCGTGTGGTAAAACATAGTGCTGCCCACTTACAGATTAACAGTCATGGCAGGGCTCAAATGAACAAGCTACATTTGAGGGAAAGAAAAAAAAAATCCAAACATCACAGTGGATTATGACCATTTCGGAAGTGTTTTTCTGTGATAATAAATAGGGACGTCTCTGCGCAGCCTATCGGATTCCAGGATGCAATACGCATCCAAATGAAAAGAACGCCAGTCCTTTCGCTAATCCTTGTATATCCTTTTTATCTCGGGACTCATAGCAGTCTGATCACTATGGGACAGCGAAGCGGTGGGACAAAGCCATGCGGATGATATTCCTGTAAATGAGAGAGAAAAACAAGTCTGTTTGACTTCAGTGGGCGCAAACTGGGCGCATGTAGGCAAGCTGCGTATGCGTAAAAGTGGGCCAAAATGTTCCTCGTTCTGCTCCTGGGGCTCTACGTGGCCACAGGTGCACTTGTCTCCCCAGTGAGCTCCTGCCCGTCGCAGTGCAGCTGTTTTTTCCACAACCTGAGTGATGGATCAAAGGCCAGGTAAGGAGGATGTCAAGATGGAAATGATTTTATATCCAAAACACACAGACGCATCTTTTTAGACGGACAGGTCTTGTCCTCACAGATGTTTGCACAGAGGTGAACACGTGTGCAAAAGATAATTCAGGGAGTGCATGTTGGTCCAATTTTATTTAATGCAGGATTATCTCTCAAAGGCACTTTCAGCCTCCCCATCTATGCGTTTTATGTGTTTGGGTGGATTGGGGAATGAATATTTTTCAGAATTATTAGCAGCGAGATTTCTGCTGCCTGTGAATTTACCTCATATTTTGGTGTCATATAGAGTCCACAGCACGATTTAATTGAAGACTTTAATTATTTAATTTTTTATTTACTGTGTTACTTTGCAAAAATATGCTTAATTGCGTAAATTGTGATGGATGAGTTTGAGGTGAACACGAATTCACTTGTGTCTTCTTTGTAGGAGCGTGATTTGCAATGATCCCGAGATATCTCTTGTGCCTGTGGGGTTCCCTGTTGACACGTCCAAGCTGCGGATCGAGAAGACGGCCATCCAGCGGATACCAAGCGAAGCCTTCAACTACCTCTCCAGTCTGGAATTCCTGTGGATGTCTTTCAACACCCTGTCCGCCTTGAATCCGGACAGTTTCAGGGGGTTGTTCAACCTGGAAGAGCTTCGTCTGGACGGCAATACCCTCACCGCCTTTCCCTGGGAATCTATCATGGACATGCCCAGCCTCAGACTTCTCGATTTGCACAACAACCAGCTCACCTCGCTGCCCGCGGAGGCCACAACATACATCAAGAACCTCACCTACCTGGATCTGTCCAGCAACAATCTGCTGACCCTGCCGGCAGAGGTGCTGTCCACCTGGCTGGCGGTGAAACCAGCGCAAGGGCCAGAGAGCTCCAAAATGATACTTGGTAAGGGAGGGTGCACATCCTGATACACAACCTTCATTCACCCACACTTCCTGGTCGTGGTTTATGCCTGTCTCAATTTAAAATACCTTAAGCGCGCTTTTAAACACCGTGTGTGAAGCTGGACAGAACAGTTGCTAGGCAACACATCATTTAATGTATGCAGTTATGCTTGGTGAATCTTGGTGATAAAAATCGTCACATTGATATTTGAAGAAGTTATTATAAATGTACTAACAAGTTTACTATTTGAAGACCAAGGCAACACTTTACTGTAACACCTCTTATTTAGCATTGATTGGCAGTATGAACGTTTGATAAATGGTAGTAACACACTAAAATGAAGATGTTAGCAGATATGAGATATAAGCGTTTATTAATGTGTTTGTCAACAACTATAACTTCCCCTGTGTGGAGAAGTTTTATAAACTAGTGGAAGCTGGTGTAGAAACAGATAGTGAATGACAACACAGTAAAACACAGCTGTAATAATATAAAATATGTCTTTGTGGGAGAGGTTATTATTGTCATCAAATACAGTAGGCCTACATAAATGTCTTTATATCTTCTCACTACTACATAAACCATATATTAAATGTGTAGATATAGTGCTTATGAATTCTAATTTTCTATCACATTTTGTTTCTTTATGTTTATTTTGTGTCTTGACCCATTCTGCACCAGTTTACCTTTTAAATCTGAAGACAATGACACAATTGAAGTCAGTGTGGCATTTTTTGTTGTGGTTTTTAGTTTAATTTAGTTTTATTGCCTTTAAAATCAGTTCAAGTGCATGCACGGTGTTGCAGGACTTCACAGCCCACTTTATGTAAAGAATACAAGTAGAAATATAAAGTTCATTTTGCACTTTCCTTTCTTGTGTGTTTAACCCATCCTGATACTCAGAATAGTGGACAGCTGGTCCAGGTTCAGCTCTAAAGGCTGCTGTGTCAGTCACGGTCAAGGACAGGTGAAATGACAGCAAAATCTGATCTTGATCACCAGACCATCATCATCACCAACACCACCACCATCATCATCATCACCACCACAATCATTGCCGTAGTCATGGTCATAATGTAGTTTATGAATTAAATGTTAATCCTCTTACAGGATTAACGTCCTAACATCCACACCAGCCATCTGCAGGCTGGTCTATCACTTTGCACACAGCTGGGCGCTCGTCTTCCTCCTGTAGCCTCACTTATACCCTCACCCTCAGGTCTCCATGACAACCCCTGGGTGTGTGACTGTCGGCTCTACGACCTGGTCCAGTTCCAGAAGTCTCCAACGCTTTCAGTGGCGTTCATCGACACGAGGCTGCGGTGTTCAGCTCCGGAGAGTGTGTCGGGGGTTTTGTTCAGTGATGCGGAGCTGCGCCGCTGTCAGCTCCCACGTATCCACACTGCCGTGGCACGAGTCCGGAGCGCTGTTGGAAACAATGTGCTGCTTCGTTGTGGAACCATTGGAGTCCCCATCCCAGACCTGACATGGCGCAGGGCAGATGGACGAGTGCTCAATGGAACAGGTGAGTCAGCAGCTCTCTGGATGTCAGAGTCTGTTATGTGGCTGAGATAAGATGCTTTTGTCTGCACTGTAGTGCTGCTGTTAATTAAACAGAGAGCCACCAGTTGTAAGTCTGACTGACAGCTGTGGCCACAACAATGAGTTATACAACACTGATCACCTGCTTGGCGTCTCTTTGCACATTTTTTTTTTGCACGTTTGCACATTTTCCATATGTTGTCCTTTTGTTATCATTGTGTAACAACCATATTCTCTCCTCTCTGCTTCCACAGTCCAGCAGGAAACCTCAAAGGAGGGAATCACCTGGTCCATCCTCAGTGTCCCAGCTGTGTCCTATCGTGATTCAGGGAAATACATCTGCAAGGCCACTAACTACGCAGGGAACGCAGAGGCTGTCATTTCTCTCGTCGTCTCTAACTCACCAAAACCAGATGGGAACCAGACCAGCAATGACAAGAAAGCCAAAGTCAAGAAACCCAACCAGATGGGCAAAGCTGCCTACCAGGAGAAACTGGTGGCCAGATATGTGGTTCCAACCTCCACCCCTTCATCCCTGCCTGCCCTGGATCCTGGCCTTCCACCTGGGCTTGGTCCTGATCCTGGACTAGCCAGTTACAGCCTGGCTGACAGAGCCACACCAGGGCCCGCCACCTCCTCCAACCCAGATGCACTGCTGGATCTGGAGAAGACTAATCTAAGCAACTTGGCAGCCAACACCTCATCGCTGCAGCAGGACCCAGACAGGGTGGTCCGCTCAGTAAAAGTAGTGGGGGACACAGACAATACAATTTCTCTAAACTGGAGAGCCCCTAAAGCCAAGAACACGACAGCATTTAGCGTGCTGTACGCTGTGTTTGGAGAGAGGGACATGAGGAAGATCAATGTTGGGGCTGGACAGAACCGTGTAACCATCGACGGACTGGTGCCCAGGACCAAGTACATTGCCTGCGTGTGTGTGAGGGGGCTGATCCCCAAGAAAGAGCAGTGTGTCATATTTTCCACTGATGAAGCAGCCAGTGCCACTGGCACCCAGAGGCTGATCAATGTGATTGTGATCACAGTGGCCTGTATCATCGCTGTCCCGCTCACCGTCATCGTGTGCTGTGGGGCGCTGAAGAGACGCATTCAGAAGTACTGGGGAAAGAAATCCAAGGACATCCAAGATTCATATGTGACCTTTGAAACACTGTCGCCCGGCACAAAGGCCAAAGGGCTTGAGGGCGAGTATTTAAACAGACTGAACCCAGAGGAGTCCAACAGGCTGCTGTCAGCCCGCTCCAGCCTGGACTCTGAGGCCACAGCTAAGATAGAGGGACAGCCTAACGAGTACTTCTGCTGACGTCATGCTCCAGCTCCGGCTCCTGCTCCACGCCATCTTCCTCGCACTCACCCGCATCCACGTCCCGGTCCAAACCCTAATACCCATTCACATCCCCATCCTCATCACCACCCCCATCCCCATCACCATCCACATCCATATTCACAACACCACGCACACTCTCACCCTCACCAACACCCTGACGTCAGTCCCCCTCCCACCCGCTCCCATACACCCACACCATGGGATTCCCCCCCACCTGTTCCCCCTCGCTGGATCACGCCACCGACTCCACCGCCACAGAGAGCCAACTTCTATCAAAGGACTTTTGCACGCTGCACTATCATGGAAATATCAGTTTAGAGAATATTCACATTTTAATTCACTTGTTTTTTTTTTCCAGATATGGACTGTCACACATGTACCCACACATTAATAATCGACAACATCCAAACACACTCATGCTTTCATGTCTAAAAGAATGTTTTTATCACTAAGCCTGTAAGAGAAAACATGTCAAAAGCTGAAACAATCATTGTAATTTATATTTCATTTCACTTGCATGGCCCAGCAAAGAAACCTCTGCAACCTAATCTGATTTTAAAGGGAACTCAACGGCAGACACTCCATTGTTTATATCATATATGTATGTGCATGATTTGTAAATACGTTACTGGATGATGTACACTTACATATAAAGTTAAGTCTGTGCCTCTGTATATATCCGTCATACGTTCTCGGAGAAGATATACACATAGGCATGGTTCTAAACTCTGGTGAATGGAGAAAAAGCTGGAGCTGGAGAGAAGTACAGAAAGGACTGAACTATGACACAATGTAAATAGCGTGGAAATGATGCAAAATGAAATATTAAACAATTTCTACTCCCAGCAACGAGACACTTAATGAAATATCTCTATGTACCTGTTTTGTGCCACTTAGAGGCATCATTACCCCATTAAATGTAGATCTATTCATTCCAATGATATTATTTGAATATAGTTAAATAAACTTTTATATATACATATCCAGTTAGCAATGCCGTGTGGTTTTATATCTCTATTTTCACCTATCACAATACTGATCATTTTTCAACCCAGGTCTCCTTTCAGAAAATATTTATACTTTTGATTTTATTCATGTGGCTGGTTTGCTTATAGCTGATCGAGCTGCTTTTGAGGAGTGAGTTCAGGATCTGCAAACTCTTGGGAGTATCTGTCTCAGGTGGTCTAGGACTTAAAGGTGATACTTCAGTCTTTATAAAGGGGTTGTAATGTCTTAATTGATAATTGATCTATAAAGCCTTTTATTATTTACATTAGTCACAATTTAGAAAAAACGGTTGACTGAATCAGAAAGTGGTGCCTCCTTGAACATATAGTGGGTCAGACCTATTGACACCATCAAGTGTTAATCATGCGCGTCTTCCCCAAGAATTAGATGCCACTTGTTCAGTACGCAGTACGTCAGGGATTAAGCTTAATAGGCTTCTCGCGTCTGCCGCACTGGACATGTCTTGAGCACGAATGTAGCCCTCAACTTTCAAGTATTTTCTCGGACTATGGACATAATTTGTTACCTGCTAGTTATAGTCGTGTTTAACGTTCAAGCCTATGGAACTTATTCTCAATGTTTACGCGGGTGCAGCTGTGTAGAAGACCGTCATGGAAGGTAAGACCTAATTTCATGTCGTGCAATCTTGACAACGGCAGAGGTATTTTTAACCAATCCAACTGTGTCAGTGGGTGACGGTAGATACACAGGTGACTGAGTAAATGGTTATTTGAAAATTGCAGCGTTTATGTTTTCTCAATAAAGTAGAGAGGGAGAATTTGGGGAATAGATTGAGTTGTATAAAGCTCTTATCTGTGGTCCTAACAAGCCACTACAGGTGATACAGCTTGTGTTCATGAGGCATTAGGCTGCACAGAAAGCAAATGTTCATTTATGCTCTTCCCTTTAACCATAGGTCACTCATATGTATGGAGGAGAGCGCGTTTGGGGCCATACCAGAGAACCTTCCAGATGATATGACCAAAATCAGAATTGAAAAATCTCACTTTACTGAAATACCCAGAGGGGCATTCTCAAAGACCCCCGCCTTGGAGAACTTGTGGTTGAATTTCAATGATATCACAGTGATAAACTCAAAAGGTCTGGAGGGTTTGGGGAACTTAACTGAGCTCCGTCTGCAAGGGAACAAGCTGCGATCAGTACCATGGACAGCGTTCGAGGACACGCCGGCCCTCAAGATCCTGGACCTGAAGCACAACCAGCTGGACGTCCTGCCGGAGCATGCGTTAAAATTTTTGCCAGGTCTGACTTACTTAGACTTATCCTTCAATCGGCTTACGGTCATATCGAAGGAGGTCTTCCAAAACTGGCCTCTTTACCAAAAGCTACAGAGCACGGAAGAGCGGGAGGCGACAGCTTTCGGGCCGAACGTCGTTCTGGCGCTCCACGACAACGCCTGGCTCTGCGACTGCCGCCTGAAGGGCTTCGTGGAGTTCATCAGGTCCCTAAGGCCCCCGATTATTCTGATGAACTCCTACTTGACCTGCTCAGGGCCGGACTTTAGGGCGGGCAGGTTCTTCCATGAAGTAGAGCTGCAGGCGTGCATGAAGCCCGTGGTCAGCAGCCCGTCCTCCAACATCAGCCTGCCCCAGGGCACGAACCTCACACTGCGCTGCCTCGCCAAGGCCAGGCCAGACCCAGCGGTGTGGTGGACATATGGTCTAAAGATAATCAGAGGATTTCATGGTAAGAGTGCAACATACATCCGCGCACCAGTTCCAGTGATATCTTATGGTAAATTAGATACTTAAGCACACATTTTAATCGCCGACCCCTCTTAAGATGCGGAGGTTAAATCTGGATGTTGGCCCACCGCGATATAATCACCACTGATTCTCTCAAGCTGCGCAACACCATCAGTGTTGATTAAGAGTGCTGGAGATTATAGTGTACTCTAGCCTACCTAATGTCAACCGTGTTGGGATACTGTGTAATTAATTAAACCTCTGCGTCATTAGACTTAACCTTAGTGGGTCCAATTCTTACAGTAGCCCAGATCATATGACGAACAAGATACCAGTCCATCATAAACTAATAATAATACCAGGCTTCTGCTCCCTATTAGAAGGCCTATTACTGTCACTGCTGAGAACAGTCACCTATCCTATTAATTTGTGTAGAAACCAAATGGGTGTAGCCAAAATTGTACCCAAGTAAAACTACTGTTTATACATGTTTATACTACTATAATAACAAGTACTCAAGTAGAAATAAAAGTAGTCATCAAAATAATGAGTAAGACTAAAATCCAAACTACACTTTCTAAAAATGCTTTAAACTGGTTAATAAGTGTTTATTAATTGTTATTTGTTCAGTTTTAAGTCACTAATAAGAACAAGCTATTGCCAATTTGTGAAAAATCGTCCTGACTAGTGAGTCATTAATAGTCAAGTCCTTAATAAAATCATTAATAAAAGGTAATGAGTGTCTAACCTAATAAGCAATCAAGGTCACAGTAACAAGTAAGTCACTAGCAAAAACTCACAGGTGTCTCATTGTCTAATAAGACAGCAGAAGTTAGCCAGTCATGTAAGTAAGTTGTTAATAAAGGATTTCTATACCAACCTGTTAAGTCTGTGCTTTGGAATCTTAATAAGTTCTTTGTGGATACTCTGCAGCATGTTCCAGAAGGTCAGAGGTCAATTGGTCTATTGGAGGGGTGTTCTTGATGAATTAAGGGATGCTGCTAGAGGAGGATGAACGTAAAATGAAGCCCACTGCTGTCTTCTTTCTACTGTTTTAGTGTGGACATTATCCACACATCATCATTTCAATAGTTTAACATATACTAGGACATATCTTAAGTGTGATCACAAATCTTCCATGTAAATATTACAATGATATTTAGTACATCAGTAAGTAAACTCATTTTTTCGGACCAAACGATTAATTGAAAAAAAGAAATTCCAGATCAATTGATGCTTAAAATAATTGTTAGCTGCAGTCCTGCAATGTATATTCACCTTAAAGCTGTTAACATCTAGTATATGTCTGTAGCACTATGATTTGTGTGTCTGTGGGAAGGGGTCGTTTTCAGCCTATAACTTTAATGGGGACTTAAGTGGCTTAATTGTTTAATTTCTTCTTTGTCTTGTGGGGTGGAAAAGAAATTACCTGAATTTGGTGGAATAATTTGTTTTGTGTATAAATGCCTCAGCATAATTACCAGAATGAGTTCTTCTAAAACAGAGTTTTATTGTTTAAGGTTGCATGTTTGTTTGTTTTTTAATAACATTGGATACCCCTTGTTGTCCTCGCAGAGTCTCAGGAGAGAGTGGATGAAGACACCATTAGATCCCTCCTGGTGATCCCCTCCCTCCATGCCGCCGACCGTGGTGTCTACACCTGCACTGCTGTCAACTTCATTGGGAACTCCTCTGTCAGCATCCTGCTGGATGTTCACTCTCCAGACGGCTCCCACTCATCAAGCCTCCCTGGCTTCCCGGCTGCACCAAGTGCTGGAGATGAAAACGTCTACATCGACATCCGCATCGCCAAACAGATGGTACGTGGTATCTCCATCGAATGGTACGCTGCCTTGGAGCACCCCGCCGAGACCTGGTTCACCATCCACTTTGGCCGCGCAGATGCTGATAAAAAAGAAATGATCTACATCGGCCCCGGGATTCACTCTTACTCCGTCTCCGACCTGATGCCTGCTACCAAATATGAAATCTGTGTAACCATTAAGAATCAGACACCACGTCCAGGCCAGTGCATCATGTTTGTAACAGGAAGTGACATTACTGAGATGGAGCAGAGGGAGAAACTGATTCATATAGTGGTGATAGTTTTAGCCATGGTGCTGGCGGTGCCTATAGGTATGTATGCCTGCACCACTGACATTAAGTTTGCCTGTCTGGAGGGTATCATGGAGTCCTGGAAGAATCGGCGGAGAGAAAGCAGCTCTTCAGGGGTGGAGCGAGACAGGCAGGGCACCTTCGACAGCCTGCAGGCCGCCAGCGACGAGGGCCTGGTTAATAAAGATTCCAGTGAAGACAGGAAGGTGAGGAGGAGGTCAGATGACAGACTGAATAAGAGCAAAGCTGACCACAGCAGACTCACAGCTGAACTATATTAAATTACTGTTTTGTTAAATCAGGAAGGAAAAACATGAAATTGAGCTTGTAATAACAGACTGATGACTCAACTCTGACCAACTCTTTCTGTAAATTAGAACAGAAAAAACAACCTGCTGCATGATACTGACTTTGATACTGATATAACTACATTAATCAACAGAATGACAATATTGTCTGCCTTGGTTTTAATCTCATCTCTTCCTCTGTTCTAGGCCGAGGAGTGTGTTGCAAAGATGTGAATGATGACCATTATGTCAAGAGTGTAATTCAAGGATTTGCTCCAGTGTAGAGAATGTGCTGCAGTTTGTTCCTGTCTGAAACAGGACATGTTTGTCTTGTTTTCATGATGTGTTCAAATGTAAATTAGCACACATTTTAAATTGCTGCTTTATATGAAGCCTTTGTGATTGATTTAAATGAAACCCAGACTTCCTGATGAGGACTTTCAGTCGTATGTGTATACTTTTCTTCTTGATTTGAGTCTGTGTTAGCAATTTAATATTGTTTTACGTATATATATATATATTTATATATGGATCTATTGATCCATTGAGCTGACTGGTTTCATTTTGGCTCACCTTGCTTACTTTGTCAGTTAAGTTGTTATATTTTTACTGTACAACAGATAACTGGATCTGGAAAAAGAAATTCTCTTTAAACAGATGGTGAGTGTGCATTTTCATCAGTAGAAAATATTTTCTTTCAATTTTCTACAAATCATAATAATTCACAGTTTGTACATACAGTGTATGAGTGTCAGTTACTATATATAAGTTTTTTTTCTACTTTTTAAAAGAGCAACCAGACACCTCATGTATCAGTGGATCTTGGAAAATCTTTCATTAATTAATCATTTTATATCAAATTTTGCTTTCCTTTGTGTATACATGTGTATGTGCGTTTGTGTATGGGGTCATATCATGTGTTTGGTGTCATAGTACCATGGCATAGTTCTTTGAAAGCAGCATTATGGGTGACAAAACATCAAACAAAGTAACAGGACCGTAATTCCTTGTCCCTTTTATATAATTGAAGGTTACCTGGAAACACACACGACCACCAAATTTGAATTAAATTGATGTACAATTTAAATTTTGTGTATGTGTGTTTTTGTTCTACCATTTATTTACTGATGCTTGACCTTGGCAAAAAAAAGGGGCACTGAGTTGATTTCACACATAAAGTTGTAGCAAACAGTTGTAAAAGTCCTGTGCGGCTCTGGAGGAAAGTCTCATACCATCAGGGTTATCACACCTTGAGCTTGAAACTTAACATTTTGAACAGAAAGCCAGTGTTTCAAAACAGGAGCTGTGGGGTTTGAAAGAAGTGAGCGTGTATCAGCTACTGAGCTGGATATGAGCTTTTAGATATTGAGTGACCCTGCATATCTGAAGCTCGATCGGACCATTCTTTAAAAAGGAAAAAAAAAAAAAAAAAATCTCTTTCGAGTCAACTTTCTTCAAGTGCAATCTCTGCAGTTAAAAAGCATTTTACTGTATGTTTATATGACCAGGCACAAGGTTACAGCCCTATTGACATTGTATCTGCATTAAATGAATCAGCGATAGAAGTTGACAAACAGAAAGAAACTTGTTAGGTCAACACTTAAAAGTTTATGTTAAACATAGGAGTGAATTTCAAAATCGCAGTTACACACCACTGAGGTGGCTGAAGCCATTTGATGAAGTTCTGTATGTGAACTGTAAAGTTTCACTAACATATGTTTAATCCTCTCTGTGTCTGTACATGTACGTCACAGTTTTTCACTTCTGCGAACACAACACACAGCAGCCATGCGTCACACATGATCTGCACCAACCAACCCAGACAGATGGCACGTTGGATATTCCTCGGCCAATGGCATTGTTCATTTGACATAATACCCAAACACTGGCATCCTCTCCCATATCCTCTCTTTCTGTCACTTTATGATCAGAACACACGAGCCCCCTCCTCCATCTCCATGTGTTGTCGTCTCTTGTGACGCAAGGAGATCAGTCCATCTCTGCTGGGACCCGCTGCTGTTGACTTACGATGAGGGTTTTAAATGACTGGCTGAGATTGGCAGCTCTCATTTTCTGGAGCGCAGGCACATCTGCTTTCTTGCTTGTTCAGATGTGTTTATATGATTTGTGGGTGGGGGATTGATGTTGCTTTTTGTTGTAATCCCTATCCACCGTGTTATGACACAAGACAATGTGAATTCTGTAAACACTCAATTTCAGCACAGAACACATGAATTACATGTTTGTTTGGGCTTATCTTATTTTTCTCCTTACATACCCTGTGTATGATTTAAACACTGCTGCTGATCTCATGGGCAGCAATGTTCAAAGATCAGAAGTTAATTTCTTGTATTCATGATGTTTTATTTCTTAGTTTTTCTTTATTCGGAAAAGCAGATGTTTCATTTACCTTTTAGAATTGCTTCAAACACATACCAGGATTTTTGAACCCTGTGTGTTTCTTTCATTCTAAAGCATCAATGCTCTTTGCAACTTTCAACTCTGTAATCCTCTATCAAATAGCCCAGTAATCCTGGCTGCCTCTTACATGGCATAATGCATGATCATTTGGGCTGCTCCTCATATTCCCTCATTTCACTTCAGAGCATTAACAGCTTGCAACATTGAAAAGTGTTTGTGTTTTTGTGTGTGTGACAGCTTCAACCTAAAATTTGGGTCTGTTTCCTCAGGAATCTTCGGGACTGCAGTTGTGTGAGAAAGCAACACATCTCACATTTGTGCAAAAGCATTTTTGCGTTTTTTCTGACTCAGTTTAGGTGGCAGTTTTTAATTTGTCAAGAAAAAATTAAAAAAGAGCTCCACTCTGCATCATCATAACCATATGAAATGTGCCAGCCGATGTTGCAGAAAGTTTGATGCCAGCCACACATATCTTGTCAGTTCAAACTAGATCAGGGCAGATGGACTTTTGGTTTTTCGCCAACAATGCAATATTGTACAAAGATGAACAAGTTGGTCCTTGGATTAGAGAGGGTAATCTGCAAATTTCATGTTTTATGTAACTTTGAAATAGTGTGCATGTTTGGCTGATGTCTACACAAATACCCAACGAGTGGTTCAGTGTAACTTCATAATTGGTAGTGCTCACATTGACATTGGAGCTAAGGAGAGCAAAGGGGCTTGTATCAGGATAATATATTACATATTTGCAGAACATCTGGTGAGGTCTTACTAAAAACAACAGCAAATGTAATATAGCGGTGTAAGGCCTCATTCATACATCTCATTCTAGCCCCTGTTGTTCTACATTACTCTTATTCAGTGTTTGGATTTACTGCTTTGTTTATATTGATCGAATTTTTACAATATCTTAACACATGCTGCACCAGCTTCTTTCTTCTGCTTCTTTCAGACTAATGAGACTAAAATCTTCCTCAAGGCCACAAAAGCTTCAGCTTCAGTCATTCTATGTCAAATCTTTTACACACCTTATTTGTCTTTCACCTGAGTGCTGTGGTCCAAGCTGCTTCTCCTTTGTCTCCAGAAGGGGGCAGTACAGTATTTTTGCAGGCTCATTAAGGAGGTGTTGGTCTTAAGATGATGGTAACAAAGCTCTCTCTCTCTCTCTCTCTCTCTCTCTCTCTGTGTTCCACAGTGCCCTCAAGGCTACAGTCCACTGATCTGATTGTCCTGGACTCAGTATGGTCTAATCCTGGACAGCTGTAGCTGGTCTTGACCAGATACACCACACTGTCCCACCAGCAACCGACCAACTGTTTTTAAAGGAATAAGTTTTCTACTTGTTATTGTCACTAATCAAACTACATATTGATCTTGATACTTTTACTTAACCACATTTCACTTAATTTTACTGCAACACTATATTACCTTAACAGCTGCAGTTACTTAACATACAAAATATGTGATCAGTTTACAAAAGATGACGCACTGTTGTAGATTAAAATTCCCAAAAGACCAACTACAACATTAAGTAACTGCTTACATGTTGATGTATTAGGACTCATATGATGATATAATGTATGTGGTGCCAACATACATACAGTATTGAATAGTTCTGCTCTTCCTTTTTGTACTTGTTTTGCTAATACATCTGTACCCTTCTTTCTTGTCAAGGAGCATTTTCATAGTATGGCATTGCTACCTGAGTAAAATGATCTAAAAACGTCCTCCACTGTTGAAATTACAAATGATGTTCTTTTATTGGTAGTAAAATTAATAAAGATCTTTTGACAGCAACTGTATTTTGAGAAAAAAGACACCAATTTAAACAGATACACCACCACATACAGAGCAGTAAACAAATGAAACACGGTTCTTTAAATGACAGAGTAGACATATGGTGACTGCTGCGAAACAGGGCTCTAAACGGTGCTTTACACCTGCGCAGTAGGATTAAAAGTCTTCCTAACGTGATCGCTTTGGTTCCCTTCTCTCGGGCTGATCTCTTTAGTCAGTTCAAGTGTCATGAAATCTCTTTTAAGGAGCTTGGTTGGATCCCAAATAAACAGTCTCGCTTGTTGAAATCTGAATGACTTCATTCCTGACAAGGGATCAGGGTTGAAGAACTTTAAGCCACTAGTGTGTCAACAAATGGTTCACAAGGTCGGGTTAAGGTTATCTGTTATAAAATGTCACTTGAACCAGAGACTGAAAAACACAGGATTTTACTTTCATGATATGAAAATTACATTATCAATATTTAAACCTTTTGAAAACATGAAAACACACACACACACACGCACTCAGACACACACACACACACACACACACACACACACACACACACACACACACACACACACACACACACACACACACACACAAGCACTACTAATGTATCAGGATCCTTTTCTGCTCCAGCCTCATCTTGAGCTCTGAGACAAGCGCTTTGTTCACAGTGTCCTGTCTGGTCATCACTTGCTTCTTTTTAGGTTTGGCTGCCACTGTTGCTGAGATGGTGGGTATGGCCCGATGCCTCTCCCCCGGGATATAGGGGGGTGGTGGAGGGGGCAGGCATGGGGCGCTGGGTGGTGGAGGTGGGGGCCAGTGTCTAACAACATTGCTGATATTGTTGTTGTAGTTGACATTCTCCACGATGACCTCGGGCTCTCGCTCTTCCTCTTCGACTCTGAATTTCTCTGCGGGAGCTTCCGGCGTCTTGAAGGGGTTCTTGAAGTTCCATGTGGGTTGTTTCCTTGGTCGCCTCCTTACACGGCGGTTAGGCAGGATCCGGTTGGACTTTTTGTTGCGCATGAATGTTGCAGTGGAGATGATGACTGTGACTATGACCATGAGACTAATGACACCTGCAAGCATGCCTAGGATTTGCAAAGGCTTGTTTCTACTCTGCATTAAAAATGATCCCAAAGGCCCCCCATTGAGTTGGGTCTGTAAAAGAGCACAGGGAGAATTCACATCCATGGGACTGAAGTCATAGTCTATCACACAAAGATTAACTTTTAATACTGTCCTGTGCAAGTACTGTAATACTGCATGAATTCACCATTTGGCCAAATATATCACGTGAGGTGCAAAATACGAAAATATGTAAAACCAAGAAATAAATTACTGCAAATGTACTGCCATAATACTGTCTGTATGAAAACTTAAACTTTAATTTAATTTGCTGTATTTGTCATATTTTGTCAAGACAAGATCAGAGAGGTTGACTGGGAAACCCATAACTAAGACCATCTGAGAATGAAAATAAGAAATAATGTGAAAATGAAAAGCCTAAACTAATTTGTTTTGGTTGTGGTTGTGGTGTCATAATATGAGTAAACATAGACAGAAAAAAAGCATGAGAAAGTGCTGAGAGGATAGTTTATGTTGTGCTCCTGTACTCTTTTACAGACACAGCCTTGTTCTACTGTGAAATACTTTGAAAAAGTATTGCTACAAATTCTTGGTACCACAGAGTAAAAACAACAGTAACGCTGTGCTGATTATCTCAAGGCAAGCTTCATTTATGGCATAGGCCTCCTTATAATCTTTCTGATCTTGCCCTGAGATTGTACACGGGACTTTTTCACAGAGTTCCAGTATATGACAGTTGAAATGAAGGTTGTCAGTGAAATGGCGAAGGTGACAATGGTCAAACAAATCCCAAACACAGCCCCCGGACGTTTCCTTAGGCCCAAGAAGTATGAGAAAAATCTGGATTTGATCTGAAAACATGACAATTGCATTTGTTTGTATTTTGAAAATCAATACATACAAATTACACCACCAAATTTTCATTTGTGTGAGACTTTGATATTTTTTTCTGCTACCAAAGCAAAGAGTTGGTGAAACTGGGCTGTGATGAAATTTTCAATTCTTGCAGAAAAGCTGTACTTTCACATGCAAACTGATCAGTGTACATGTAAACTGAAAATATGGAATGATAAAGACATAAGCAGAACATCTGCTATTTATATTCTTACTAAAAAAATTTAACCCTGCTCCTAATCAAACATCAGAACTTACATTACAAATCATTGATAGAAAATGACCAATATTTTAAGTATAAACTATGAAAGTTATTGATTTTCAAATTATCAACAAATGAAAATTAGGTGATGCAAAGAATATAAAAAGTAGAATTGCTTAATTATTTTTTACATAAAATACCCATGACCTACAGCCACAACTAGAATGACATCCAAGTAGCTGAAATGATGCTGAACTAATGGTTGAAACTTTGCACACTCTAATTTTTATGTATTTGAAGTGTAAAACTTTAGAAGAAGAATTAATCATATCTTACTGACATACAAGGGCGTAGGTTTGGTCTCAACATTGGCGGGAGGGACGCAAGAACCCACCACCCCTCCAAGACAAAGAGATTGGCTTTTTAATGCGTGTGTTGGATATCCATATATGAAATATATGTACATATGAATTAAAATCATATATGTATGTAAAGTATAGCCTATAAATGTAAAAATGATATATGACACCTGTAACAACTGTAACAATATCATATATTGACATACTGTATATATCTAGCTAATACAAAACATGTATTATAGTATGTCTGTTTATATTATAGACATATGTTACATAAATATATATCCATCCCAAAGCCTGTCAGTATATGTTCATGTTTTATATGTCATAACTACATATCCTCTTATAGGTGACACATATGATTATATCACTCTTGATAGAGGGACATATACAGTATGTCATATATACTGTATGTGATAAGTCAAAGTATACTAAGACTGTTGTTTTGTGGTGTGTGTGTACATGCCCCTGTGCCCACCCCTTTTCTCCAGCAGGTGACACGGCACGGCTACTCCTGGTTTCTTCATCAGGAGCTGGAGCTTAAAGGTGGTGTGAGGAGGCCTAAAACACAGCTTTTGAACCGCTGGTCAGGGCCAGAGTGGGCCATTCAGCGGTTCAAAAGCTGTGTTTTAATTTCCCAAGGAGTTTTTCACTGTTGGCTTTTGTTGTAGTTTTTACTTATTTGTGAATAAAATCCCTTATTTTTGCTGAAAGAGTTACCCTGAATCTTTTTGTTTTGTCTGGTTTACTAATTTTATTGATTGTTGCTTTCCTATATCCCAACATTAGCAGGGAAGGCAACAAAGTAATATAAACGTCAGAGTATAATAAGTCATAAGACCGTCATAGTATAGTATATGATAAAAAACATCATAGTATAGTAAGGCATAAAAATGTCAAAAAACGTCATAGTATAGTAAGGCATGAAAACATAAAAAAACGTCATGGTATAATAAGATATAAAAGGTCAAAAAACATCAGAGTATTGTAAAGCATAAAAATCTCAAAAAACGTCATACTATAGTAAGGCATAAAAGGTCATAGTATAGTAAGGCATAAAATGTTAAAAAAAACGTCATAGTATAATAAGGCATAAAAATGTATAAAAACATCATAGTATAGTAAGGCATAAAAATCTCAAAAAAGGTCAGCATAATAAAGCATAAAACGTCAAAAAACATCATAGTATTGCAAGGCATAAAAATGTCTAAAACATCATAGTATAGTGAGGCATAAAAACGTCAAAAAACAGCATAATACAGTAAGGCTTAAAAACCTCAAAAAATGTCATAGTATAGTAAAGCATAAAAAAGTCAAAAAACGTCATAGTATAGTAAGGCATAAAAATGTCAAAAAAGGTCATAGCATAATAAAGCATAAAACGTCAAAAAACATCATAGTATTGCAAGGCTTAAAAATGTCTAAAACATCATAGTATAGTGAGGCATAAAAACATCAAAAAACAGCATAATACAGTAAGGCTTAAAAACCTCAAAAAATGTCATAGTATAGTAAAGCATAAAAAAGTCAAAAAACGTCATAGTATAGTAAGGCATAAAAATGTCAAAAAACATCATAGTATTGTAAGGCATAAAAATGTCTAAAACATCATAAAAAAGTAAGGCATAAAGACGTCAAAAAACGTCATAGTATAGTAAGGCATAAAACGTCAAAAAACATCATAGTATTGCAAGGCTTAAAAATGTCTAAAACATCATAGTATAGTGAGGCATAAAAATGTCAAAAAACGGCATAGTACGGTAAGGCTTAAAAACCTCAAAAAATGTCATAGTATAGTAAAGCATAAAAAAGTCAAAAAACGTCATAGTATAGTAAGGCATAAAAATGTCAAAAAAGGTCATAGCATAATAAAGCATAAAACGTCAAAAAACATCATAGTATTGCAAGGCATAAAAATGTCTAAAACATCATAGTATAGTGAGGCATAAAAACGTCAAAAAACGGCATAATACAGTAAGGCTTAAAAACCTCAAAAAATGTCATAGTATAGTAAAGCATAAAAAAGTCAAAAAACGTCATAGTATAGTAAGGCATAAAAATGTCAAAAAAGGTCATAGCATAATAAAGCATAAAACGTCAAAAAACATCATCAGTATAGTGAGGCATAAAAACGTCAAAAAACGGCATAATACAGTAAGGCTTAAAAACCTCAAAAAATGTCATAGTATAGTAAAGCATAAAAAAGTCAAAAAACGTCATAGTATAGTAAGGCATAAAAATGTCAAAAAAGGTCATAGCATAATAAAGCATAAAACGTCAAAAAACATCATAGTATTGCAAGGCATAAAAATGTCTAAAACATCATAGTATAGTGAGGCATAAAAACGTCAAAAAACGGCATAATACAGTAAGGCTTAAAAACCTCAAAAAATGTCATAGTATAGTAAAGCATAAAAAAGTCAAAAAACGTCATAGTATAGTAAGGCATAAAAATGTCAAAAAAGGTCATAGCATAATAAAGCATAAAACGTCAAAAAACATCATAGTATTGCAAGGCATAAAAATGTCTAAAACATCATAGTATAGTGAGGCATAAAAACGTCAAAAAACGGCATAATACAGTAAGGCTTAAAAACCTCAAAAAATGTCATAGTATAGTAAAGCATAAAAAAGTCAAAAAACGTCATAGTATAGTAAGGCATAAAAATGTCAAAAAAGGTCATAGCATAATAAAGCATAAAACGTCAAAAAACATCATAGTATTGCAAGGCATAAAAATGTCTAAAACATCATAGTATAGTGAGGCATAAAAACGTCAAAAAACGGCATAATACAGTAAGGCTTAAAAACCTCAAAAAATGTCATAGTATAGTAAAGCATAAAAAAGTCAAAAAACGTCATAGTATAGTAAGGCATAAAAATGTCAAAAAAGGTCATAGCATAATAAAGCATAAAACGTCAAAAAACATCATAGTATTGCAAGGCTTAAAAATGTCAAAAACATCATAGTATAGTGAGGCATAAAAATGTCAAAAAACGGCATAGTACGGTAAGGCTTAAAAACCTCAAAAAATGTCATAGTATAGTAAAGCATAAAAAAGTCAAAAAACGTCATAGTATAGTAAGGCATAAAAATGTCAAAAAAGGTCATAGCATAATAAAGCATAAAACGTCAAAAAACATCATCAGTATAGTGAGGCATAAAAACGTCAAAAAACGGCATAATACAGTAAGGCTTAAAAACCTCAAAAAATGTCATAGTATAGTAAAGCATAAAAAAGTCAAAAAACGTCATAGTATAGTAAGGCATAAAAATGTCAAAAAACATCATAGTATTGTAAGGCATAAAAATGTCTAAAACATCATAAAAAAGTAAGGCATAAAAGGTCATAGTATAGTAAGGCATAAAAAAGTCAAAAAACGTCATAGTATAGTAAGGCATAAAAATGTCAAAAAACATCATAGTATTGTAAGGCATAAAAATGTCTAAAACATCATAAAAAAAGTAAGGCATAAAGACGTCAAAAAACGTCATAGTATAGTAAGGCATAAAGTGTCAAAAAACGTCATAGTATAGTAGGCATAAAAAAGTCAAAAAACGTCATAGTATAGTAAGGCATAAAAATGTCAAAAAACATCATAGTATTGTAAGGCATAAAAAGTCAAAAAACTTAATAGAATAGTAAGGCAAAGAAACATCAAAAAAGGTCATACTATAGTAAGGCATAACAATGTCAAATCATAGTATAGTAGGGAGTGAAAAGATAAAGAAATGTCATGGTATAATAAGACATAAAAGGTCAATAAAAGATCAAAAAACATCATAGTATAGTGAGGCATAAAAATGTCAAAAAACGGCATAGTACGGTAAGGCTTAAAAACCTCAAAAAATGTCATAGTATAGTAAAGCATAAAAAAGTCAAAAAACGTCATAGTATAGTAAGGCATAAAAATGTCAAAAAAGGTCATAGCATAATAAAGCATAAAACGTCAAAAAACATCATTGTATTGCAAGGCTTAAAAATGTCTAAAACATCATAGTATAGTGAGGCATAAAAATGTCAAAAAACGGCATAATACGGTAAGGCTTGAAAACCTCAAAAAATGTCATAGTATACTAGAGCATAAAAATGTCAAAAAACGTCATAGTATAGTAAGGCATAAAAATGTCAAAAAACATCATAGTATTGTAAGGCATAAAAATGTCTAAAACATCATAAAAAAAGTAAGGCATAAAGACGTCAAAAAACGTCATAGTATAGTAGGCATAAAAAAGTCAAAAAACGTCATAGTATAGTAAGGCATAAAAATGTCAAAAAACATCATAGTATTGTAAGGCATAAAAAGTCAAAAAACTTAATAGAATAGTAAGGCAAAGAAACATCAAAAAAGGTCATACTATAGTAAGGCATAACAATGTCAAATCATAGTATAGTAGGGAGTGAAAAGATAAAGAAATGTCATGGTATAATAAGACATAAAAGGTCAATAAAAGATCAAAAAACATCATAGTATTGTAAGGCATAAAAATGTATTAAAAAATCACAGTATAGTAAGCTATAAAATGTAAAAAAAAATGTCATAGTATACTAAGGCATAAAAAAGTCAAAAAGTATAGTAAGGCATGATACATCATAGTATAGTAAGGCATGAAAACATAAAAAAATGTCATAGTATAGTAAGGCATAAAATGTCTAAAACATCATAGTATAGTAAGGCATAAAAACATCAAAAAACGTCATAGTATAGTAATGCATGATACATCCTAGTATAGTAAGGAATGAAACAATACAGTATATTAAGGCATAAAACATCAAAAAACGTCATATTATATTAAGGCATAAAAATATCAAAAAATGCCATAGTATAGTAAGGCATAAAAACGTCAAAAAACGTCATAGTATAGTAAGGCATGATACATTTTAATATAGTAAGGAATGAAACGTAACAGTATATTAAAGCACAAAACATCATAAAACGTCATAGTATAATAAGCCATAAAACGTCAAAAAACATCATGGTATACTAAGGAATAACAAAGTAAAAAAAAAAATCATAGTATAGTAAGGCATAAAAATGTAAAAAAAAATCACAGTATAGTAAGATATAAAATGTAATAAAAATGTCATAGTATACTAAGGCACAAAAAAGTCAAAAAACGTCATAGTATAGTAATGCATGATACATCCTAGTATAGTAAGGAATGAAACAATACAGTATATTAAGGCATAAAACATCAAAAAACGTCATATTATATTAAGGCATAAAAATATCAAAAAATGCCATAGTATAGTAAGGCATAAAAACGTCAAAAAACGTCATAGTATAGTAAGGCATGATACATTTTAATATAGTAAGGAATGAAACGTAACAGTATATTAAAGCACAAAACATCATAAAACGTCATAGTATAATAAGCCATAAAACGTCAAAAAACATCATGGTATACTAAGGAATAACAAAGTAAAAAAAAAAATCATAGTATAGTAAGGCATAAAAATGTAAAAAAAAATCACAGTATAGTAAGATATAAAATGTAATAAAAATGTCATAGTATACTAAGGCACAAAAAAGTCAAAAAACGTCATAGTATAATGAGGCATAAAAAAGTCTAAAAACATCATAGTATAGTAAGGCATAAAAATGTAAAAAAAAATCACAGTATAGTAAGATATAAAATGTAATAAAAATGTCATAGTATACTAAGGCACAAAAAAGTCAAAAAACGTCATAGTATAATGAGGCATAAAAAAGTCTAAAAACATCATAGTATAGTAAGGTATAAAAGGTCAAAAAATGTCATAGTATAGTAATGCATGATACATCCTAGTATAGTAAGGAATGAAACGATATAGTATATTAAAGCATAAAACATCAAGAAACATAATAATATATTAAGGCATAAAAACGTCAAAAAATTGTCATAGTATATTAAGGCATAAAACGTCAAAAAACGTCATATTATATTAAGGCATAAAAATATAAAAAAATGCCATAGTATAGTAAGGCATAAAAACGTCAAAAAACGTCATATTATATTAAGGCATAAAAATATAAAAAAATGTCATAGTATACTAAGGCATAAAAAAGTCAAACAACGTCATAGTATAATGAGGCATAAAAAAGTCTAAAAACATCATAGTATAGTAAGGTATAAAAGGTCAAAAAATGTCATAGTATTGTAAGGCATAAAAACGTCAAAAAGGTCATAGTATAGTAAGGCATGATACATTCTAATATAGTAAGGAATGAAACGTAACAGTATATTAAAGCATAAAACATCATGAAATGTCATAGTATAATAAGGCATAAAACGTCAAAAAACACCATAGTATACTAAGGAATAACAAAGTCAAAAAAAAATCATAGTATAGTAAGGCATAAAAATGTAAAAAAAAAAATCGCAGTATAGTAAGGCATAAAGTGTCATAGTATAGTAAGGCATAAAAAGTCAAAATGCCCAATAGTATAGTAAGGTATAAAACGTCAAAAAATGTCATAGTGTAGTGAGGCAAAAAATCTCAAAAAACATCATAGTATAGTAAGGCAAAAAAATCTCAAAAAAACGTCATAGTATTTTAAGGCATTAAAACATCAAAAAACGTCCTAGTATAGTAAGGCATAAAACGTCAAAAAATGTCATAGTATTGCAAGGCATAAAAATGTCTAAAACATCATAGAAAAGTAAGGCATAAAAATGTCAAAAAAATTCATAGTATAGTAAAGCATAGAAATCTCAAAAAACATCATATTATAGTAAGGCATTAAACGTTAAAGTATAGTAAGGCATTAAACGTCAAAAAACGTCATATTATAGTAAGATATTAAAATCTCAAAAAATGTCATACTATAGCAAGGCATGAAATGTCAAAAAAAAAGTCATAGTACATTATAGCATAAAATGTCAAAGTACTCAGAGAACATCCAAAGTCCACACAGAAAGATCCCAGGATGGGGCTCAAACCCACAACCTTCTCACTCATAGGCAACAGTTCTAACTGCTGTACTATGGTGCAGCTCCATACTATGCTTCATTGTAGTGAGCCATCAAAACATCATAGTTATGTGAAGCATAAAAACGCGATAGTGTAGTAAGGCAAAAAAATTCATAGTATAGTAAGACATACAAAAGTTAGAGTATAGCAAGGCAGAAAACCCCATAGTATAGTAAGGCATAACATGTCAAAAAAAGTCACAGTATAGTATGACATAAAAATGTCAAAAAACTTTATATTATAGTAAAGCATAAAATGTCAAAAAACGTCATAGTATAGTAAGGTATAAAAATGTCAAAAAACATCACAGCATTGTAAGGCACATAAATGTCTAAAAACATCATAGTATAGTCAGGTCTAAAACTTCAAAAAAATGTCATGGTATAGTAAGGCATAAAAGGTCAAAAAAACATCATAGTATAGTAAGGTAAAAATCTTCATAGTATATCAAGTCATAAAAAAGTCATAGTATTCATGATGAAATTCTCAAGGGATTTTTCGACAGAAATTGTTGTCATACTTCGATATATCCACCATTTTCTGACTACACCTGCTAGCAACCTGATTGCTAGCCTACAGAAGACAGATGCCAGGGTTAGTTTGCTAGGTAACGACAGCTAACATGGATAGATAACATCAGTTGACATTTTTCTGGTGACGTTAGGTACCACTGTGATATTCTCACATGACATGAGCCTTCAGATAACCCCTGACCTTTCAGTCAATCGAATGCTAGCATGCCTAATTTGGGGGTCTTGGAGACGTAGCCTCTGGGATGGCAAACTGGAATGATTTAATATGACTTCACTCCAAACATAGTGTGAATGAGTTCACTCAAATATTGGTAGGGACAAGTCTGTCCTCCAAATTATTGGTAGGGTTATGTCCCTACTGTCCATTTGCAAACCTACGCCCTTGCTGACATATTGTTATTCACATATTCTTTGTTGTAACTTACAGCTTCAGTGATGTCGATCTTGACAACGGCGGTGGTGCTGAAGGACGGCTGGCCTCGGTCTCTGGCCTGCACCACCAGGGACCAGGTGAAGTCTCTCTGCTTGGTGATGTTCTGGATGATGGCCATGGACTTGATGTAGGACTTGAGCATGATCTCCCCGGTGTCAGCGTTAATGTCAAAGATGTTGATATCTGGCTCAGCTTTCATGATGGCATACTCGATAACATTGTTGGGTACCTCTGCATCATCATCTACAGCCTTTGAACATGAAGATGCATTTAATTACCAACATAATAACACTGAGATTATTTTGAGTTTCACTTCGTCTGACATACTGAAGCACAAGGGAGCGTATACCTCTATTTTCACTGGTGCTCCTATCACCATGGTCTTCTCGAGGAAGTTGTCATTGAAAGCAGGTGGGTGGTCATTCAGGTCCAGCACCGTCACAAAGACCTCAGCCAGGCTGTACTTCCCCTCTGCGTCCTCTGCCTTCACATAAAAGTTATACTTGGATCTCACCTCCGCATCCAGGCTTGCCCATGGCTGGGTGTAGATGATTCCAGATTCAGACTGGATCAGGAACCTTTAAATGGTGGAGGAAATTTATCTCAGATTTATCATATGAATACAGAGCCACATTTTTCCATACAGTCTTAAATATTTTATACTAATTATGGTTTTTGCGTGTAAACCTTTAATTTCTTCTTAAGGTGGGTTTGAGAGAATGTACTGTATACTTTCTATTCCGTTTTGCTTAAGACCATCTTAGTGGCGGAATGGAAAGCATTATATACTCTTCCTCTGCAGGGATTTAGGCTTTAGATTTACTATTATTTAGGCTACTGATATACCACACCTAAATCTGATGGGTGTAGAAAATATGCTTTTTCAAGTCGTGCTAAAAGAAACAAACTTTAAATCAATACTTCAGAAGTTTTAGAAATATTCTTACTTGCTTTTTTTTCTCAGAGTGAGATGACAGCAATCTTGTGTTTGTGTGAAGTATGAAGCTACACCCAGGACGCTACCAACCGGCACCTCTAGAATTTACTGACTAACATGTTGTATCTTGTTTGTTTAACCTGTACATAAATGTAAAAAAAATGAAAGTTTGTTGTTTTATGGCAAGTTATTTTCTGGTAAACAGCACCCAACACAATGACTTCTCACAGTCTAGTCTTTCCAGAGAAGCTGCAAGCAACATATTGAAATGCAGCAAAGATGTAGCACATGAAGCAAGTGGATAAACTGTTGTTAATCAAAAATAGCTACAGCATCTAACTCCTCCAACCACAAATTGTGGTTAGATTTCTGTGAACAAGATAAAACAAGTTAAACAGTAACTTCAGAGGTGTTGGTAGGTGGACTGTTGAGCTTTGGAGATAGCCAGGCTAGCTGTTCCCTGTGATTTAGCTTATAGACGTAAGAGTGTTGATCTTCTCATCTAAACCTTCTCAAAATGTTGACTTATTCCTTTAAATTACCATTTTACTGTTCCACCCTGATTAACTAAAGTAAATTTAACTTAATTCAAGATACTGTTATAATAACAGTTCAATCAAAATGTCAAAGTTCAACAGAGCAAGTGTGGAATTAGACTGTTTCACTGACTGACTTGCTCAGTTACCCTGCAGTGACTTTGTCACAATGCAAAGGTACAGTAGCAAAGACCAGTCTATTTTCTCCTCCAATCCCATTACAGGATTAACGAAGACAGAGGGTGAGCAGGCAAAGATCAGGACTGCATGGTCCTGTGTACTCTACAAGATATTCTACAAGATATTGTAAAAAAAAAGAGTGTAAAGTCAGAAATATGAAATGCAATTGTTTTGCAGATGCAGAACAAACAAATGCAGCTATGTATTCCTTTGTTTTGGAGAGTAATCTGAGTTGACACAGTTTCAAAATTGTGTAAACCAAACAAGTATCCACTAAGCTAAAAGTGTTCCAAATCTCTCTCCTCTGCTTATTTTGGAAATCCTTCTCCTGGATACCATGTGACATCACATATCTCCACTAATTCATTGCTACAGAGCTCAAAATCTGTATTTAGGGGTCCAAAAATACTCCACCTACATTTCATCATACAAAGAAAGTGGTTTATTGGACACAGCCCTGAGAGATTAAACACAACCCCACTAACGTACACTTGTTGTACATGAGTATTGATTCGTGTTTCCTTGTTTTACTGTTCTAAATATTTCCAAATACAGGTTTTTTTGCCGCTCTAAGGCATGCATGTAGAAACGTGATTGAAAAAGCAAATCATTTTCCAAACAATTACAGTATTGATTGTTACAGTGTTGGGATGTGTCAGGCACTAACTTGCAGGTTATCTTTAGGACTCTCTGTATTGATATGAAAGGCAAGCTGAAGATATGCTGTGCGTTATTACTGAGAGAGAACAGTGACCACTGAGCTTTTTTTCCTCTGAGGTTCGACTTCTACCAGAAATCTAATAAAACTCGAGCTGAGAGAAAATGCCAGCAAATCCTCTGCGGGACTACAGCGCTTAGGTGCAATAAGCAGAACCAAGTTCTCATATGAAAAACAAGTCTGCTGTCATATTTCTATACAGCTTTTAGGCACATGTGTTTTTGCTGTAGATTGTGGTTGTGACTAGTATATACAGTTAAAATGCCACGGTCAAGCTCATATCCAATTTCTTTTTCATTTAGTTCAACTATTTACCTGAGATCAGTGTGACTTTATGAACAGTGTAGTCTGTTTTTCCACTGCTGACAAAGGGTATCTACTCCTAATAATGTTGTGTAAGCAGTTGTGATGTTTTCATTTTGATTTGCTGAGTGTCATCATCTGATTTTCTCCACCATCATGAGTTCACCCTGACATGATCGCAGTGGAGGCAACAAAAAAAAAAGCAGAATAAAAACAAAAATCTTATCCTTGGACAGATTTAGATTTTTAAGGATGTCTTATTTTAACAGCAAGATAGTGGGGATCATGGGGATCATGAGGAATTTGAAGGGGGTGCTGAGAAGGCCGTTTCTTTCAAACAAAAACTTGACAGAACTCAGCTGCAGTTACATTCTCATACTCACAAGTCAGCCCCTGATCCGTAGATGGAGTACTTCACATCGCCCCAAGGTCCTGAGTCTGGGTCTGTTGCCTGTTGACAAACAGATTATAGAGAAAAAAAATATGTTATGAGTTTGCTTGTAGCACTTGCATAAATTAGGTCAGTTCGACTTCACTTTAGTCAGGGTAATCTGAAATTTCACTTTAAGGATTTTAGTGCAATATCTGGCTCAGTAAGATAAGACATATGTACTGTCCATGTCCTGGCATTATTTTGGGTTCAAGTCAGGCTAGAGACCAATATTGTTTGAGCTCTTTTTTCTATTAGTTCGTATCTCTTTCTTAACCTGAATGAGCAGATGAGTGAACTGTCTGCCACCATGGACTCAGCAAACTGAATGAATCTATGCTGCATTAGAACATGATGTTACAGAGGTCAGCTATAAAAAGACTGATTTTTGATGTCATAGGAACATCATCATGGGCATCAGCTAATCTGTCTGTCTGTCGCTGCAGGGATGCCTGTTCGCTGTCTCCGTGTGTCCAAGGTCACTTGTTGGCTGTACTTTTATCTGATTGAAATTGCCTGGGATCAAGGCAACGAGCCTCTGTGGTGTTCACGCAAGGGCAGGATTTATTAGTGAGCCTCCCCGTTGCTTTGAGCTTCTGCAGGGCTGATATGCACTGACAAGGGCGAATCCTTTTTAAACTAAATGGCCCTAAAAAACCTAACATGTCCTTAGTGTTCATGTTATTTCTGTGATGCAGCTGCATGTGCTACTAAGCATTAGAAAAAAAAAATCAGGGAATTTTGTGTTACACAACTAAATGAAAGTGATAGCCATCTGGCAGCTTACCTCGCCTAGCTTTTATCTACATGTTTTCACATATTATCCCAAGCCCCAGTGCCCAAAAACACATCTACATTTAGGGAATTAATGACCCTCTTGGGCATTTTGTTAAAATCAGCATTCCTCTTTAGCTCAGAGTGACGTACATTGGTGATGGCATGTATTTTTAGATGGGATGAAGACTCACTCACCGTGACTGACACCACATTGGAGCCACCGGGTGAGTTTTCTGGAATTCTGGCGATGTAGTAATCTGAGGCGAATTTGGGAGCGTTGTCATTGGTGTCCAGGAGGTGAATGACGATGTCTGCTGTGGCGCTGAATCTCTCTGGGGTATCAATCTCAACTGCAAGTAGCTGAAGAGGAGAAAGATTAGAAATAGATAAATGAAATCAAGCATTACTCTATACAACAGATGCAGGTGATACAGTTTATACATCACTGCCATTTGTTGAGGAATGAGATTGTTGAGATTTTTAATCCCATTTCACTTTACTGTAATGGCCTAACCTTGTATGTGAGAAAATGATGTTTCTCATAGTCCATGGCAGCAGAGTCTTCTACTAAGATTGTGACTTGGGCCTCATTCAGTACAGTCTGAGGGACGACTCGCAGCATCCTCCCTGGTCCAATCAGTCTCAGATTGAATTTAGCATTTGCACCCTGCGAGACAAGACAGCATCATCACACTATTCAAAACGTCTCATTAGTTTCATATTTCATAATATCAAATGTTACATATGCATGTACCTATTTTCTAGTAATCTGCCTTTGTTACAAAGCAATGGCAAAAAAGCAGACATTCAGTATAATCCAAGCAGTATATAGTGCATTCAATCAATATAAAAGCTTTGTGTCTTTTCAATATTACAGTAATGTAAGAGCAATCAATAGGATATCAGGAGCAGCAATATAAGTCTTGGTGAAACATAATATCATTGTACAGAGAGAGCTCGCCTCGATGTTGTAACAGTATTATCAGAGAAAACATTTGGAGAACATCAGCCATTTGGACTCATACAAGGAGCTGCACACACAGAGAGAATTGCATAAGCTGACAAATGGCATAGTTAGGCAGCACCTTTTAATTTGTTTTGGCTTACTTTCAAGTTCATGTAATTTTAAAAGGATTGTCTGTGATAATGGAAGGCTTAAAGCCATTTCACAGACAGAAAAAGCAGACACCAGCCTGCACACAATGTTGTGGTACAATGCATGTTGATTAAATCAGTTTCTTATTAGATAACAATGCAATTTGTTGTTACATAATAGCTGTAACTCTCTCATGGCTAACTGAGGCAGGTTTCAAAGGCAATAACATGATATCAGTGCTGAGAGATGATACTGGCTCAGGAAAACACCACTGAAAACAGCATTTTCGAACTAATCAGAGCCAGTGTAGAAGAAAATATAGCAGACAGCAATGATCTCTCCACCTGATCGGAGTCATTGACAGTGATTTTCAGCCCCCGGAGTATCTCTCCCTCCGGTGGATGTTCGTACATGGTCAACTCAAACATGTTCTGTTGGCCGTTCTCCCCGTAGAAGGTGGGTGGGTTATTGTTCAGGTCCACCACGCGGATCACCACCGTGGTCACCCCGTAGTCCATCAGTCTGCCCTCAGGACTCACTTCTGAGGCCTGGACAGATGAAATAAAAATAATGTCCATATGTATCACTTATGTAGTCAGTAGAAATGAGCCTGTGTGACATTTCATCCACCAGTTTCACCACAGTAGCTCTACCTCAACCCTATTGTAAATCTATATCCAATCCAACATATATAAAATCTTTTCTTTCATTTCAGGTATTTTCAGGGATAATTCAAAGATAATTTAAAAGCAACAATAGAAGTTTTTTTTCTTGTTAAAATACTGTGACTTGAGTGATGCTTACAAGAATGTGGGGCCTGTCTGATATCTGAATGAAGTACAACTTACCCTGACTTTAATGTTAAAGATCTCTCTCCTCAGATAAATGGGGAGAGTCACCAGGGTGATACAACCACTTGTTTTATTGATGCTAAAAACACCATCATCACCTGCAGAGACAAGCAACAGACAGATGAACACAATAGATTTTTGTCAAATTTCCTTTTCCTTCATTCTTGTCTTCTTTGAATGAAATATTTACCATCCTCAAAGGTATAACATATTGGATTTGGATTTCCCACATCACCATCTTTGGCGACAACAGTGAATATTTCAGATCCCTAGGAAAAAAACAAATCGTCAGAGAGGTTTTGCTGTTAAATCAAGATAACCGAGACACAGAGATGATCTGCTGGACAGCTGGTCATTATGTTATACATGTAATATTCTTCTGTTAACTGATAAACCACCTTCAACAAAAACAAAGCATGAATTTTAACTAGGTGTTGAGTAGCCCTCTGGCTGGTGCACAGCTATAATCACAACACCACAAAAATCTTTTCTGCACCAAGTCTTCACTCAGTCTTCAAAGGCACATTCAAATGTCATGGCCCTAATTATTCCCTTTTGGATGAAAGTCAGAATGTGTAATCTTTCCTCTGTGATGCGCTAATGCAGTGACATTTTGACACTGAGGAGATAATGTGGCTTTCAAAAGCTGTGAGAAAGAAAGAAGAAAGCAGCACTGGCATTACTGTGAAATGCCAGCAATTAAAGCTATGTGTTATGATGCATGTGATATGTTGGTCCTTTTTAATTTATTTATACTGATTTTCAGTGGAAAGTTAAAATCATAGCAGGAAGTCACTGGAAGACGTTTTCATACTCACTGGCACTGAGACTTCATAAACGTAGCCAAAATAGGGCGTCCCGATAAAAGATGGCGGAGTGTCTTGTGCATCGATCACATTGATGGTCAGGGTAGCAGAGGATGACAGAAACTGCTCCTTGTCATTAAAATTACCACCACCGTCCTGGAACAACAGTAATATACAATTTAACCCTTAATTTAAAACAGGAGAAATGTGAATTTCTTCAATAGTAACATTGTTATATTTATGTTTATAAACCTTTATTAATACAAATTTAAGATTAAATATCATTTTAAGTATTTTTTAGGAGAATTCTGCTCCTTGTGCAGATGAGAGAAAGATCTGTTTCCCATCATGTGATGTACTGTAGCTCAGCCTTCAAAGGCAGGAACTCTGTCAGGGCTGTTTGAATGTTTTTCAATGATGGCACTACATAACAATCATAAACAGCCTTTCTTTTGTTTAACTTAATGAATATGCTGAATATATTTCTTTCTCGATAAAACATACCTAGCATGTATGCTACAGTCTTTTCCTCTGTCTCTTATCAGCACATTGCTATTTTGAGCAATAGCGCCACTAACTGAGTGTTATAGGCTGAAACTGGCAGCAGAAATGTATCTTGTGTTACAGTACCTCTGTGGGGCAACCCTGTCTCATGGAAACTGCGTTTATATACAACTAAACTGTATGAGAAAAAACTTCACAGGGCACCTATAAAGTGAAAAAGGAAGTATTCTATTGCAGGACAGAAAAACTGAGCACTGATATATTCATTACCTTTGCAATGACAGTGACAAAGTGTGTCTTTGTTTTCTCATAGTCCAACATTTCTCCAGATTTGATACGAAGGACTCCACTATGTCTGTCAACGGCAAACAAAGTGGACTGGCCATTCTGTAACAGAGAACAGTGAGGCAAAAAGAGGATTTTAAAAGCACACACAGAGAGTAAGGTCACATGAATGAAATCCTGTCGCTGAAACCCCATAAACCCCATTTACAACCACTCACGTGAGATATCATGAAAAGTGGTCAGATGGCTGCATAAAAACACTCAGTAGCCTCTTGAATTAAGCCACGTCCTGTATAAAGTCTATCTCTTTGTCCATCTGGATGTAAAGAACCCATATGCTCAAGGACAGGGCAGGCAGGTGCTGTGTCCAGATGTACACTGCCTCACTCGTCACTGTCACTCCAGGCCAGCTGTTCTTTGGTCCTAATAGTCCAAAGTGCAAACTAACATTCGCTGCCTCCTGCTGCCAAAGCAGCCCTCTAAGCCTCCAGTACCTGACACAAATGTAATTGTGATTTAATCCCCATCGTCATAACTACACCACCATATTCAGTCACGTGCACAAAAACATAGAAACTAGAAAATCTAAATGAAGTTAACCTTGTTATCAGCACATCTATACATTAAATTACACACACATTGATATCATAAGTGGCCAGTTTCAGCTAGTGGCTAGCGTTTCATGTTTTAAAATGTCTTAGGATGGGAGTGGGCAATATTTTTCTTTTGTCAAGTGATACCTGAAGATAGTAGGTGACTGAGCCCCCTGAGCCTGTGTCTCTGTCCACTGCCTCCACTTTGTAGATGCTGCTGCCAGACGCAGTGGTCTAAAAAACACAGAAAATAACTCAGGTCAGGCCAGGGTCAATATAAGGCTAAAAAAGAAATGATACAACACTTGATTCAGAATTAAAAAGTTTATAACACATGTGGCTTAACTTACTTCCACTATGTCAATGATTGCAGGCATGTTTTGGAAGTCAGGCTTTTCATCGTTTGCATCCATTACAAATATTGTGACTCTTTCCACGACCTGAAAAGAAGAAGAAGAAAAAACACATGAAACATTTTCAAGTTTAATAATTATAAAGGATGCCATTAAATGACATAGTCACATATTGAACTAGATGTTGATACCTTGCTTTGCCCATCTGTGATGCTGACAAGAACGTCAATAGAATCTTGTTTCTGAGCAAAGATGATTATGAATGTTAATATGGAGACAAGCATGATGAAAAAACAGTATGGTGCCGAATAATTATTATGTGTTAAAGTTTACATTAATAGTCAAATGTATCACTTTGTGCTGTTAAGTTTACCTCTCTGTCCAACTTTTCCACCAATGTGATGTTTCCAGATTTGGGGTCGACCCTGAAGTACTCTTTGGACCCTGGATCAAAGGAGAGGCCATAACTCACCTCCTGTCCTTCAGGGTCCGTGCCGTTAAGACAATAGATCTGTGTACCTAAAGGAAGAAAATATAATTTAATCAATTTAGCCTCAGCTGTCAGCTGGATGAGTATGTTTTCTATTATGTAAAAGGAACCAAATTCAAACCAACTTCAGTAATAAAGTGGAAGTCATTGTTTGGTAACACAACCAGGCTATGACACAGTAGGCAGCAGTAAGTACCCTGAACTGATGCAAGGTGTAGAGGGACAGCTGCACCACATTCACGGCCAGCAAACTGTCCCTCACATCAACCAGGTGGCACCAGCAGATGAGCATGTTAGTGTGAGTATGTACATACCACGCAACATCTGTTCATCTATCAAAGACTATTTAACATCGTGGACTCGTGGAGATATTGGCAGCCTTAACACACCATTTTGTTGATTGGTTGTTACACTAGCCCATTAGCTGTTCACACTGAATGTCCTGTATGTCAGAGGTCCATCTCACCAACAGGCGTGTCCTCTGACAGGCTGAACAGTGCCAGGTTCCCATTCTGGCTGTAGGGTCCGTTGTCATAGAAGTGGGGGGCAAAGTCTGCTTGTGCTGAGGACAGAGACATGAAAATTAAATGCTTGAAAGTTTTATGTTTTTCACCTTAAAGTGAAACTATGTAACTTTTAAAAGAAGAAATAACACAGTCTTCCTCATACAAATTGAAAGCTGAATTTATAAATTATATAACACACCCTTAATCAATGCAATACACTCAAGGGCTTTGCTGCAATAGCCTCACTTGGTCTGGTATGACCAGCAGCCTTTGTTTTTGTTTGCTACTGTTGGCAAATTTACGCTATTGTTTGTCTGAACAGAAGCACTTTTCTGACTTAACCACTCTTCTCTAATCATCTCTACTTGTTACATTATGTCTTAGCATTCACCATTGTTTTGTCATTGGTGGCCAATTTGGTCACTGGCATTAAAGTTACATAGTCTTGCTTTAAATACTAGCGTGACATAAACCAAGCTCTCCATACCCCCCCCCCCCCCCCCCCCCCGATTTCTCAGTCACTTTGACTGGGATTACAGGAGAGTTACATCAACATCCTAAGATACCCTTTCCATACATAGACCTGAGATCTTGTTAGCTACATCAAGTTCATATTACCTTTGAAACCAACTTCATAAATCAAATAAGTCAATTTGAATGACATTTATACCGAATACAAACTCATAAACCAACCAGGTTAAGCAAGAATTTGAATTCACTGAAAACAGAATTGAAAGAATAGAAAATTTACAGTCATCAACCCAGACGCCGTTTAATGTGTCTGAACATCATTCACAATCTGATCCCAGCAACATGAGCCTTACTACAAGCAAAGAATTAAAGATATGAAACTTACCAAAGCAGGCGTGAAAAAACACAAAAAGCTGTGGCAAATGTATTATCTTTACATTCTTCATCCTAAAGAATGAAGTCATGAAACCGCACCATGAAGACAGCTCCGTCGAGAGTCCTGTACATGAGATGCAGTTCTTAAGGTGGTTGGGGGGGAGCGGAGAAGGCTAAGGGCATATGCTCACGTGCTAATCCAATGACACATCTTAAGAGTTACTCCTGGGCCCTCTCAGTCCAACTGGGCTTCTTCAACCACCAATACACAAGAGGTGGCTGCGTTGACAGGGCATACCAAAAAATGGATATATATTGCAACTTTGCAGATGATGGACAAGTATATTTTTCACAGATTTAATTTCTGATGTAGGACAACAGCTTTAATTTCCTACTAATAAATGAACAAATATGCAATTTTCTGATAATGTTGAAATATCATTCATGGAAGAGATGCTTGTGTCTGAAGGTAAGACAGTGTCAAAAGTGTCAAAATATTATGACTTTACAAATGTCAAAGTAAACTTGTCAGTTATTGTTTCAATGCTATTCTATTGTCTGATATAAATATTGTATTTGCAAAAAATACTATCATTACATTGAAAACCTTTATATCAGAATGCCAAAAACTTTCATTCATCAGCTGTTTTTAATAATCACAATTTGTCAACATTTGCACTGGGTTATGATATTAAATCTGCCCTGAGATATAATACAAAGTGTGTTACTGCTCTGTGAGAACTCTGTATTAAACTGTTCTGTGATCTATCTTTGAATTATTCCTGTTTTACATAAAGTGCTGTGACCAACTCTGTCATGGAGAAAATAGAGGGATTAAAATGATGCAGAATCTGTACCATGATATTTTATACAGTTACCATCTGCTATGCACTCTACAACCATCTGTTGCATTAGGAAAAAGAAAAAAAAACTCCACTATTTACTCAATTAATAGAATAATCATAAAACCGGGGATGATGCAGATGAAAGCAGTGAATGATCTGATGAGATTATAGATCCTGTTTGGATGTTATGGTAGAAATCATGAAGTGAATATAAAATCTGAATTAAATGATAAAGACAAACAAGTCTGGATGCCATTTTTAAAATATCAGGAGGGGTTTATTAATTAATGTTTATTAATCCTTTTCTTTATTTCCAGGGTCAAAGAGGTAACTGTCTTTATTCTCTTTAATTAAAAACCACACTGATTAACGTAATGCCATTCTGGGACTTTTTGAACAGTATTTTGGGCACTGAAGCTGGCTAATCTTCTTGTCTGATAATCTTATTTGCCACTCAGAGGTAAACTCGTGTAAACAAATGTTATATAGTATTTAACCAGTGGTCATCCATTTGAGTAGGATCACCAACCCACTGACTACTTATATGTCTTTGGGTTTATTTGATTTTTTAATTTTTTAAATATTTTTCATGAATCCAGACAAAAAGAGACTGAATGCAAATCAAAGTGATTCAGAATTCCCCACTTTTTTTGTTTTACTTTTACTGTATGACTACCTATGGTATTTCAAAAATACCTACTATGATCTGCAATCAGATACAACAGATTCAATTTATGGGATCTAAAATGAACACTGTAGAAAATAATTACAGATCAAGAAAATAATACGTCAATGCTACAGACAATACAACTGTGTGATGTCTATGCACACCATTAAAACATGTTGCATGCAAGAGGATTTACACACATGAATAAACCTTTTATAGTCCATTCTCATACAGAAATTAAATCTACTTTATAATCTCCGTGGTACTGGTTGAATGTACAGTACATAGCATGACCTCAGTGCCTGCTTGGTGAACAAATTGTACTCTTTTAAAACTGCAACTGTTACAGGGAGGACAAGAGGTGAAAACTGTCAACATTTATTTATTTATTAAATAATTTATTTATTTTTTAGGAACATTAGTGCATAAATTAAGATCAGTAACCTCTGGCCTGCATGTGCAGTAACACCTGTACAACTGGAATCATAGTATCTCCAGACAGCAGTATTCAAAAGCACATCCGTGATGTTTACTTTTTCATATGATGGCCCAACAATAAATCCCGTAAAAAAAACATCACCTGTCAGGTTACTTGTATATGTTGATGGTTAAGGCCTTGGTTTCAGGTTTAATTCTCATGGTACTGGCAGATGGCAGGCCTAAAGATTAACCCCCTGTGCTCTAATCCCTCCTCATCTTGTAATGCACGGGGGCCTGTCTCACACAGGCTCCATCAGACATAAATGTAAAACACAATTAGCACACACAATCTTGCTACAAGTAGCCACAGAATGGACATGCTGCCTATATCGCGTGCAACATTACATGGGTTCACAAATGGATGACCTTCGTGGTTTTTATCCTCTGTCATAATGAATGAGACTTTTGTTTAAAATGTTTAGAAACTGCACATGTGTGTCAGTGTTATACTTTAAATCTGTCACTGTACGTGCAAGTGTCTTCGAAAATGATCATTGTGAAAAATCATACTAGTAAAAGCTCACTGCTCATCTGTAGTCATCTTCTTAGTTTCTAATCCCGTGCCTTCAATCACAGCGGCACATGTTGACCTCTTTGTTCCTGTAGGGGATGAGGCAATAAGGCTGTCCATAGGGAAATTTCAGATGCTCATCATTTCAGCTCACTGTTTCATGTGCATCACTTGATTTGGATTGTTGTTATCAATAGTCAAGACCAGACTTGCATCTAAATAGGCTCACTTTAACCGGAAATTTCAAGTGGAGAGCACGACTTGACTCGATAGGCCACTTCAGTTATAGGCCTACTTCTTTAAAAGGATATCGCCCTTAAAGGCTTCAGCATCTACATGAAAACAAACAAAATTCAAGGAATGAAGAGCAGCAGAGGCTTAAACATGACAGATAATAATATTTGTTTCTTCTTCTGTTGTGTTATGAGAAAGTCATAAGAAAAGAGCAGACGGCATCTTTCTCTGAGACCAAAACACATCAAGAAGTTTTGCTCCAATATCAACCAACTTGACCTCTCAGGTCAGCCAGCGCCAGTCTGTTGATTGTTCTGTGAACTAAATCCAAACACTGGTGAACCTGTTTATAGTCACTATACTGTAAATATCTTGAACACACCCACACAGAACTGCTTTCAAGCAAAACCAAATTTTTAGTCACACAGAGGGCCTTAGATCTGCACTATTTTATCCCAATTTGGTCTTGTGAAAAGCATTTTGAATGAACCTGGATTGTGTTGCACAAATGAAGTTGCCTTACCTTGACTTTTGTTTAATTACCAAAAGAATAAAAAAGTCCACATCCATGCTTACCATGTGGAATAAACATCAAATTCAGGCACTCAAGTTGATGACTAAAAATAAAAAGCCTTTAACATGGACCAGTACATTATAAAAATAAAAATAAAAAACTAGTGTGATTTGAATTAAGCAAGAACAACAACAATATTATACCCTATATCTTCAGTTATTTCATTTTAATAGAATTACAGTTAAAGCATTCAAACGTAATTAATCTTCAAATTACATGAAATGATTATAGGAGAAAATGTTTTCCTCTGCAACATTTGGGTTTGCTGTGTATGATTACATTATTTGGTTGAAGTTTGGAGCACGTTTCTGGCTGTTTATCAAGAGGCAATGTTGACAGAGAGAGCTGCAAGTAGAATTAGTTTGGCTCTCGTCCCCTCATCCTGTACCGAAACGTGAGGGCCCATGAAAATGTCAAATGAACATGTAGATTACCAAATAACTGTTAATCACTAAGACATCAACAACATTTGGATTACAAGAATCCCAAGTATACAGAAAAAACATCCATCATACAGTATATATATATATATATATATATATATATATAAAACTTTATAACTGCAACAGTAAAATAAATGCATGTATATCACATATAAACATTTATATATATACATATATATATATATATGTATATATATAAATATATGTCATATTCAAAAGTATAATTTGTATATCTCTGTATCTCTGTATATAGCCATTCCCACGACAAACAGCAACCCTGTGATAACAATCTTTAAACACTACACTATCTCCAGCTGTTTGAATTGGGTATGTGAAGTTATCCATTTATACTGTGTTTTTGGAGTGGAAACAAAATACTGCCTTGGTAAATCCTTGAATTTTGAAAAACATATTAAAAAAGAAATTCCAATTCATACTTGGAAAAATTAGATTTGCCAGGTCAAAAATAGAAAGGGAAAGTTTGAATGATTTATAGCCCACAGTACTTGTCTCACTACCAGATCATTCTGTCTGTTAGAGCACCTGTTTTCAAGACACCCAATTCAGCTTTACCATTTTGGATTATTATTGATAATCTCTAGTGCGGTTCGCTAAGGGCAGAGGTTTGCTTTTAGTCCTGGTCCACTCTAAAACTAGGTCACTCCTTTAATCTCTCCATGTAGAGTATACTGTAGGTTAACAACCTTTCATTTTCATAAACCTCTGAGAGTGCTTGCAGAGTGAACACAGAGTCATGAATCATGCAAAATCCTAAAAGATATGACACGCTACTTCTGCAGGTCTCATCATGGACTTCTCCAAAATGACCACCAGCAGGAATCCAGTGAGGTGTTGAAATAATTAATGAAACTGATAGTCCCTGTATAGTTTAATTTATGAACCTGATAGCCCCTGTATTATGGGTCTTAGTTAGAGTTAAACAAAACCTTGAGGCCTCAGCAGTTTGTCACTGGAACCTCAGCAACTTGCATGATACAGCAGGACCCTAAAGAAATAAAAACTTTATAACTGCAACAGTAAAATAAATACATGTATATCACATATAAACACATGAATATATAAAAACAACCAATGAGAATAAACTAAGGTAATGTGAAAATATACTCATGAGACCAAATTTAAGCACTTTTATTCGTAGTTTGTGCACATTCACAAACGGAGACTCCCCCAAAACATATGTTCAGTGTGGTATATTGAACTGCCCTTTAGTTAAATGCAAACTGAAATTCCAATATTGCAGAGTTCGCTTCACATTGTCTATAATATATTTTACATTAAAATGTGTATTGAAAGATGAAAATCATATGCATCAAATATATTCTGTAGATGAATGTCAAATTAAACAGATGTACAGCTGAGTGTAGGTACTTCATGTTGGCCAAATTAAGCTTGTGCTATTGGGCTGACTCCCCTCTGATATGCTGCTCCGCTGCTCTACATTGTTTTACACTGCTGCCTCCAAGTGGTAAAAACCTGGTGGTGGACAATATTTGTAAAAAAAAAAAAAAAAAAAAAGAAAAAAAAAAGAAAGAAAAACCCACTGCAATTGTGTCTTGTTTTTCTGCGCATTTACATGAGTTCAGCATGTTGGGAAACATTTAGAAAAGTATATCTTTATCTACAATTGTGGATAGGGTGTAGCAGTGATTATTAAACTAGCTGTTCAAAAACACGGACCACACACAGATCTGGTCATTCCCCACAATATGACCAATATATAAAGACATATGAAGACTGAATATCTGTACATGTCTAACACACTTTTTTCCCCCAGCAGACATTTTGACTTATCAAAGTAGTGAAAGCACAGGGGTCAAAGAAATTGACCAAAGTGGAAAAATTCAAGGTTTTTCAAAATTTTTAAATTCTAATAATGTGCTGCTGCTTGACTAACAGTAGATGATGTTAACTTCCTCAAAGAGCCATTAACCAGCCTGACAGTGATAACTATATAGCTACATATAATTAAAACGCTCTCCTAGAGCAGGCAGATACAGTCCTTCTATACAAAATTGCAGGGTGTATTTTGGGGGGGGATCACGTGACCAGACACAGGATGTCTGACGCGGGGGGTTGGGTTGGGTTGGGTTGGGGGGGGGGGGGGCTCGGTGACGTGAAGGGTCAGCTTGTTCATACAGCGTGGTTCTGCACATGAGAAAAGTTAGAGGAAAAGTTTTTGAAGCGATATTTGAAACACAGATCTAATTTCCGGGCAAATGAGTGAGTCTGTTTCTGTCGACTGCTCGCAAATTCTTGAATTACCTATGTGACACAGCCATTATTTCTTTTCTATCTCTCTGTTTAGTCGGATTAATTAATTTTTTTTTAAAACCCCAAAAACAAAGATTATTCTGGTTTCCGTTTCAATACCGATGTTTCTGCAAGACGTCCGTGCCTCCGCGCTGCCTCTCATTCATCCGGCAGAGGAGACGAGCCCGCGTCCGAGGATACAATGAAGCAGTGTGTCCTAGTCCGAGACAATGCAGCAAGATGCTACGAGAGGACGATACTGTTTCTCACAAGATCGGGGACATTTTTGCTCGATTGCAGAGAGAGACCAGCTAAAGGTTTGTAACATCTGAACACATGCTATTTTCTTCTGGCAGGAAATGAACACAAAGCTTAAAAAAACAAAACAAAACAAAACCTATAGAGCCACGGTGCGCACGGTGGAGCGTGTAAACATCATGCTGCCGTGCGCGTTAAACGCTATAAATGATGAATAATGATAAAGTCTACCACTATCTCCACTACTGTCAAACCATACATGTGTGATGTGTATATGTTTCCTCATACGATGCAGGTATAGATGATGATTGAGCAGATATGGAGGCTGTGTGTGTCGTGTTGTCCACTGTGATCAATAATTCTCTGTTATAGATGTGAGTTGCTCATAAAACCATTTTTTTCCCCCAGATTTAATGTTGAGGACATGAAAGCATCATCTCAGAGCATCAGAGATTAATATCATGCAGAAGTATTCATTAGTCTGTATTCATCATGGTTCAGTCCTGGGGATGTTGGAAATGCCCCCTCCCCCTAAATGACTGCTATAGTATTACATGGGCACCACACATAGAGGGGGTTAGTTTTCTTTATTTCCTAATGGCAACTAGTATGACATCCAGACTAAAATCAGCCAATAAATCATATTGAAATGATAAACGGCACCTGTACAAATTATCAGGGTTTTCAATATTTGCCCATAACAGTTAATTGTTGACACTAACACCCCAGGATGAACAGAAAAGCTTTCAGAGGGAATTTAGCTTTCAGCGTCTCCATGAGACGCTGCTTCGAGGCTTTGAAGGCAACCATTAATGTAATTTGTAGTGAGATGATAAACAGAGTGATGTGTGTTTCTGCCTGAGCAGATAGTCAGATTTGCCAAACGCTCCAGTGACTCTTGAATATGTAAAAGTGCTCGGCTCAACGTGCTTCAGCCTGACAGTTTGACGGCTATGCCGTATTAAGCTCAGATAATTGGGTGATATTTACTTACAGAGCACACAATCATTTCACAACGGCTTCAAAACTATGTCTCTCTTTTTCTCTTAATGATATGCTTTGTAGAAATTTTTCACCGTCTTGACAGGTCCAAATGGCGTGTGTGTGTGTGTGTGTGTGTGTGTGTTTGTGTGTTGCAGTACTCCATAGATAATTTATTCAGAATGAAGAAATTTGTTCTACTGAAGAATATCAAATCAAAAGTCTTTCACAAGAGCAACGTGTCTGGTAAGGTTAAGTGTTCCTTAGTGATTTGCCTCAGCATTTATGAGTTCAGGTTGCCTGAATAACCTTTAAACATGGGAGAGTAATGCAATACTCCCAACAGATGGGAAGGACAATACTCAGTTGATGACGCGAGATTTCTTTTTTTCACTACCATGCTCTGACTTGCCCCGTGTTCTCTGCTATGAATTTACTTGTAAGATGGCAATTAAGCAACACGCTGACTTCTTGAGTGTTGAAGGTGGCTTCCTGTTAAATACATGGGAGTGTTGAAAACACACAGTGCTTGAGTCAAAATTTGCCATATCCCCCAACTCACTGCCATGTGGCAGTGCTCCACTGTGTTTTCTGGCACTGAATACCACACCTGTTTACATTAACTCTCCCCCCTCTCTCTCTCTCATCTGTCTTCTCCTTCTTTCCTGATCCCAGCCCTAGTTTCTTTTTCTGTGGTTGTAAGAAACGAGACAAACAAGTTTACAAAAACTGTGATGTGGAAACTGCCAATTATTCCTGGGAATTCAATGCATCTGTGAATGCATGGTGTTATAATATAAACAAAACACTGACTGAATTTAGGTTCATCTGAGATAAGAGCTGAAACTATTCAAACTACACAAACTATTCTGTTTTGAATAGTTTGAGTCTTCAGGATAATCCATTATGAGGCATGTCTGTTGTATGACTTCATGGTAGTGTTTTTGACATCCATTCTTGTCTTCTTACTCTGCTTTATGTTTACCCATCCTCATACTCAGAAAAGTATTTTCACGACCTGAGCCAGACACAAGGTGCACAATCATTTGATGTTTAGTGTTGTTTAAGAGTCATTATGAACCTGGAATAACATCTAGTTTGCATGTTTAACTTCTTAATTGAAGTACCTTTCTTATTGCAGAATGAAGCTTTAGCATCTGCATGACAAGCTATGACCAGCAACAGAGACTAGACTCTAGACATCCAAGTACAAAGCCAGGACTCAAGAATGAAGACCAAATATGCAATCGTCTTCATCTGTATCGTTGCCCTGGTCATCATCGAGAAGGAAAGCAATATCCTGTCAAGGTAAAAGAGTAAAATCTACCTGGAGAATTTGCAGTCAATCACAAGAAATTATACATTTCATTGCTTTGGTTGCAGTCATATGTTCTCGGAAAGAAACAACTCCTGTCTTCAGATTTACATACACACCGTGTCTTAGGATCACCTTTTGCTTTTTGTATCATCCAACCTGGCTGTCTCACTGTCAAAGCAGTTTTCTTCACTTGCTCAAGAAAAAATATATCTGGGTAACTAATTGCTCAATGTCCTTCTAGATTATCAAGATTGAGACAAGTGGAAAAGTACCACATCTCTAGGAAAAGGAAGCGAGCCAGCAGCTGGTTATCTTAGATTAGTATAACAACTGGAAACAGGAATGAATAGCTAGAATTGCTCTGCCCAAAAGTAAAAAAAATCTGCCTATATGCACCTTCACAGCTCACGAATTAACTATTTGTTGGCCTTGAGCAGTTGATTTTGTTACCGAGCCAGGATAACTGCTCCCCCCTGTTTCCAGTCTCCAACTCAAACACACAGTAGCTCAATTTGCCAGTGTCAGCTAAATGCAAATTATGAAATATGTGACTCATCCAAATGTGTTAACGCTGCTTAATCTGTGGTCAATTGCTATTTCTCACCAGGGTCTCTGATAAGCTGATCCAGAGGCAGACTCCTCAGCAGACCCCAACGACTCCACTGAATTACAGCAACCCAACACAAAATGGCTCCTTGACGGTGCTCAAAATGCTGCTTTCTAAACTCACCAGTACCAAAGGGAATTACTCAAATTTCTCTGAGGAACAGGCGGAGGATGAAGTGGATGACCTGGGCACATACAGCTACAGCAATGGCCGTAAGCACATATTACTCTTGGCCACCACACGAACAGGTTCCTCATTTGTGGGGGAGTTTTTCAACCAGCACGGGGAGAATATGTTCTACCTGTTTGAGCCCTTGTGGCATGTGGAGCGCATGCTGACCATGGCCGCAGAGGCAAACAATGGGACAGTGTTGGCAGGAATCTACCGGGATGTACTCCAGGGGCTCTTCTTGTGCGATTTCTCTCCTCTTGAGAAGTTCATCTCTCCCCCACCTCTGGACCACGTCACCCCGGCTCTTTTTCGAAGAGAGTCTAGTTTATCGCTCTGCGAAGAACCTGTCTGCACTCCTGTGATCAAAGATGTTTTTGAGAGGTATTGTACATTCTCTAGATACTCAGTGTTATTGATCAAACTTACAGTGTTGGTTGAATCTGAAGAAGATACTAAAATTTAACAGTGATACAGCTGCAATAAGGGATGGACTGCTGGCTCTGGCAGTAGTTCTTTTAACGATGATGTCCTTGATGTTCTGCAGCAAGTCTTCTGGATAATTAATTGAAACTATAGGTTTATGTTATGGATATTACTTTTAATTAATTCAATATAGGTTCTGAGAAGTCTTTTTATTTCTTCAGGCTTGAGTTTGCTCTAAAGTGTGATACCTATGAGCTTCAGCTTACGATGATAGTTTCAGAAGAGTAGCACATTCAAAATGTTTCATCATTACAGTTGGGAAAAAAAACATTGCACCATAGTTGATGCAACTGATCTAACATTAACTCAGAGTTCAAATAAGCTTCTGGAAAATAGTTTCAATATTCAAGGTATAGTGTTTAGCGAAGCAAAAACAATTTGAAGACGTCACTGTAGGATTTAGGATGTGATGGGTATTTTCCTCCATTTTCTGGCATTTATAGAACAAACATTTAATTCATTAATCCAGAAAATCGTCATCAGATTAAATGATAATGAAAATCTGAAAAAAAAAGTCAGTTAGGGTTAGGGTTAACTAACCCTGGTTAGGGTTAACTAACCCTAACAAAATTTTAAACTTGGTTTCTTACTGCAGTGCCACTTGGGAATCATAGTCGACTTCAACCCTTAGCTTTATTATCTCCACAGTCTTGCACCTTTGACGTTATTCCAAAGAACCAGGCATTTGCTCATCTTTAGGACTGATGATTCAGCCAGAGAGTTTCATGCCCATAGAAGTTTTATAAGTGCTCTCACTGCTTCAACTCAGACTACGAACAAGACATTTATTTCTGGAACCCCAAACCTGAAATAAATCTTCCCGCCTTTGAAAGATATTTATCATATCCATACCGCTCTTGTTTTAGGTATCACTGTAAGACTCGTCGCTGTGGGCCGCTGAATTTGACCCTGGCATCTGAATCCTGCCTTTCCAAGCAACACCATGCCATTAAGACTGTCCGTGTGCGCCAGCTGGACACATTGCGGCCTTTGGTGGACGACCCTCGCTTGGATGTGAGAGTGATCCAGCTAGTCCGAGATCCACGGGCCATCTTAGCATCCCGCATGGTGGCTTTCTCCTCCAAGTACCAGACGTGGAAGGCCTGGGCGCAGGACGGCCAAGTGCCTGAAGATGACGAGGAGGTGAAGAGGCTCAAAGGAAACTGTGACCAAATTAGGATGTCTGCAGAGGTGGGACTGAGCCGACCTCGCTGGCTGAGGAACCGCTATATGTTAGTTCGTTATGAGGATATTGCCCGCTACCCTATGCAGAAGGCAGAGGAAATGTACAGGTTCACAGGGATTCCATTTAGTCCCCAAGCTAGGAAGTGGATTCTGAGGAACACCCAGACCACACAGGAAGCTAGCGGGATTTACTCCACCCAGAAGAACTCATCAGAGCAGGCAGAGAAGTGGAGGTTTAGCATTCCCTTTACACTTGCTCAGGTAGTGCAGAGAGTGTGTGGACCCACCATGAAGCTGTTTGGGTACAGGTTTGTGGATGACGAAAAGACACTGATGAATAAGTCCATGAGTTTGCTTGAGGAAAGATTGTTTCACTAGTTTTAAAGTCATACATGTAGCTGTGAATATGCAGAACTCTGCACGCGACGGATGGGAGCCATTAGAAGCCATTATTGCACACACCAAAACTAGTAAGCAACGGTGCCATAAAAGACTAAATGTTTTACTGGTGACAGTATTTGGGCCCTACAGTAATAATTATACTCACCAATGATGTGCCTCATTGTAACAATGAAGAGCCACTTGATAAAGAAAAGTATTTATTTGCATACCGTGTTCACTGAGGAGCTTGGTACTTAAGCTTTATGTCATGCTCTGTGTTTCATTTATATGAAATAAGCATAGATGTCAAGCCTGACAGATTGCCTGAGATTAATATGTAAGATTTTATTGATAGTTGATTATGTTTAGATCATCAGGGATAAACTACAGTGAAAGTGATGTGTATGTGTTTTGTTTGTGTGTGTGTGTATGTGTGTGGAAGAGTGTGTGTTTCTGCTCATATGGTTAATGAAGCTAGTGCTTAATTCTGCCTTGTTCAACCTGGCTTGTATTTTAATAGATCCGCACTAGACTAGGCAACTGATATGATAACTTTAGATTAGACCTGATGTGCGCTGATAGGGCTTTACATAACTGACTCAGGTGAAGTGAATGTTGCATTGCATTTTGTGGTGTCTTCATGAGGAGTATTCATATCCTCTCAACAGTATACCATGTGAAAATATACAATACTCTCTGATGTCTTTAACCAAATGCCATTTAAAGCATTTCTCTTGTGAAAGAAAGAAATATACTTTACCTCAGATACCTTAATGTGTCTTCAACATTCAACAAGTGCTGTTTTTCCCCAGTAGCCATAGTTGTAGTAATGGATTTCCCAGTGCTGCTTCTCGGCCTCTAAGTAAACAGGCAGTTTGGGTGTCATTTTACAAAAGCAGCGTCTCTGGTAATAACCTGCCGCTTCTGTCGGCAGGCTGCTCAGAATGACAAGGTGAGAGCTGATCTGTGTATGTCAGACAAGTGTGCTCACGGTCACACACGTTTTTTTTTTTTAATTACTTCCCATCTTAAAGAAATAAAACCACCAGAAAAAAGGAAGACATACAAAATTCACTTACAAGTTGTGAGATTCTCGTATGTTGATTGTTTTGGTGACAAATATATACAAAGTACGTATGTAGCTGCATTAATGTGGTCTATCGCTCTCAGTGAGACCCAGGTGCTGCTTCATTAACTGTCACTCTTGACCGTATATAAAGGTATCCACTGTGACTCTAGTTCAATAGCAGCATTGTGTTCAACTTGGCTGAGGCACTGCTGAGACTGCAGTGCCGCTTACGGAAAAGGGGGTATGCATTAGAGGTACGTATAGAAGAGGGCTTATACTACGTTAGTGTTGAAAACATGAATATGAATACTCAGAGGCCATCAGCTGCCCAGATTCAGTACTGAAGTATTTAAAAAAAAAAGAAAAGAAGAAGAAAAGAATGCTGTGAAATACAAGTGCAACTGAAACAATGGGTGTAGCAGAGTATGCATTCAACAAATCAGATACACAGAATGGCAATAATAATGTGAAAGCAGTACGGTTTTGCAGTTATTCCTTTGGCATAAAGATAAACAGGTATGTTTGACTGTAAAAAGTTGGTTGTCGGACCGTCATAGAGAAATGATTGTCGTATTCAATTAAATTTTTTCATGGTGGAAAAAGTATCAAGTTAAGTCTCAAGTCTTGTCAAAGGATCCAAAATAAAACCATCAAGTCAAGTCACAAGTCAGCTGCAAACGTTTCAGGTCTCTGCCCTGACAGTTGAACATTTCACTTTCAAGCTGTGTTCATATTGATTTTTACATCAAGTCATTTCAATGCTTGGGCCTGATAATTAGCTATTCAATATTCCTCACAGCTGCTTTTCTTCACAAATGAGCAAAGTGCAAAATCTTAGAGCCACATTTCAACACGACAGAGGCTGAATGTTTGATACTCCAAAGACTTTTGGTGGAAAATCACTTTTAAGGACAAAGTCTCATTGAAGAACAGGGTAATCGTGCCGTAGGTTGTCAAAGTTCTGAGTTTCTTTAATGACTTACTGTCAGTGTTTACTATTAAAACTTTTTTTTTTTACCATCACACTCTGGATATTCTTGCAGAAGAAACCAAGAGCCTGTGCACAGATGCGTAAGCAAATGTATCACACAGATGATTTGATGATTTTTAACAGTGAAAATGCTGCTTCTGTCAAACATAAAGTGACCCTCCTGCAGCTCAAGGATGCAAAATGAAACCATCAGTTGCTCACAGTTTTGGATGTAACACCATGTTACAGTGCACAGAAACACTAATGTTAATTCCTTCAGATTTTCCAGCAGTATGAAAATCCCATCAGAGTAACTGGAACAGAAAGCTGTGTTTATGGTATTCTCATTATCTTAGGACCTAATGTTTGGCTTTTTCTAAACTTCAAACTCCTCACATTGGCTACAGGTGTATATAAATCAGTAGCAAGACAAAAGAATGATCATAATTTCTTCGTGCTCATTGATTTCTCCATTTCCTTTTCAAGATTTTGAGTAGAAAAGCTTGACTCCAGATAAACCAGCATGTGCACTTGGGCATGTCTTCAGCATTCGTCCTCCACAGATTCCACCACAAATATCTCTGCCATTTTATCAACGGTTTTTTCTAAACAGTGAAATGCAGAGGCTTAGTATAACATGGATAAAATGGAGATAAATGTGGGATTGTTTACTCAGTTGCATTCTCTCAGTCTAGCTCCTCGTCCAAATGCATGCTGTTGCCAGGGATCCCCAAAAGGCCGAGTGGGAAGTAACTGGAGAAAAAAGGCCAAAACAAGGAGCCTATTCAAGTCTGCATTCTTTCTGTCTGTTTCATGCCCCAGCTGAGAGAAAACACTTTAGAGTTCACAGCTGTTGGTCAAGCTGGTTTTCTCCCAGATCATTTCCCTCCTTGCTGAATATTCCCACAGCAACACAGCAGATGTTTCCATCCGGCAAAAGAGGAAAAGTTTTGGTGATAAGTCACTGAGGACCCAGCTCCAGCCCAGTTTCAAGTTTCATCAAGGAATCTGCTCTTGTTTTTGACCACTAGGGTTGCTGTAGAGTAATACGTTTGACAAGCGGTAGGTTTTTTTTCTTTACCAGTGTTTAACCAGCAAAAGGTTGCGCAGTATCTCTTAAGAGTGATGCCAATAACCCTGATTTAGGTGAAAACCGATGACTGTAGATGAAGATGGATGACGTGTCTCCACTTCCTTCCCCTGTTCAATAATGAAGCCGAAATATCCTAGATACGAGCCCGGCCACCCTGCACTGGTGAGGTCATTAGGAGCCAGAGTCTGCGCAGTAGTGATCAGGGAGTGGAGCCGTGGTATCGAGGCTCCATTTACCTGGTTGACCCAATTGGAAGTCAATCATGTCACAGCTGTCAGACATGACGTTACACTCCCATTACCATTCCCAACTAATTATGCACTGTCGGCAGGGTTTTGGCTTCCCTTTTAGGCAGCTGTCATGTTGTCCATCTTTATATACAGTCATTGGTACATACAGTGAAAACTAAACTAATTATATACGGTAATCTCACATATAACATCCAACAGTTTCACATAGCCTATAATTGGAAATACAGTGCAAAAAGTAACAATTCACCAAGATATGAGAAGAAGAGCAATGCAAGGTTTTAAAACAGTTTAAAAAGCCTTTTGCGCAAGGGAGTGCTTGAGCATAACATACTGTTTTGGCCCTGAGGATACCAGCACCTCGGACCCCAGTGCTGTCTCCTGGAAATTTAATTTAGGAGATTTAATTCTGACTGGATTATGTTTTATATTAACTTAATGAGGTCTTAATTTATGCATTTGGCAAATATGTTAATAATGATTTATCAGGAAAATTTTCACAGACAACATATTTGTTTTCTGCCAAAATATCTGATCTGATCTTGCAGTGCAATATCCATTTCTAGTGAGTGTGACATTAAACTTTTTTATGGTTATAGACTCTCACAGCACTTGGTTAAGGTTGGGGAAAGATTGTGGTTTGGTTTAATACAGAAATGTTCACATTGATTTCAGACAGAATATATTTATTTACATTTAACAAAATCTAAATCTGCAATCTTTCCTTGACCTGAACCAAACCTAAACCCACACACAGGACTCTGGATCAAAACCTAATCGCTATCAGAGTTTAGTTGTATGTAAATGTAATGTCCAAGAGAGTCTTGCAGACCCATGACTTTGACTGTAATAGCAGTTGAGGTTCAAGTTGTTTGAACACAACACTGCAACAACAGCATCTCTGTTAGGTTTTTAGTGATTTAATCATGAGATGATTAGAATCCAAACATTGCTTCTGATGCTTGCACATTCACAGTTTGTACTCCCAGTTGAACAGAATGGTGCCTAGGAAATGAAATGCTACACTGAGGTCAGACCAATGAGAAGAAAGAAAAGAAAAGAAAAAACATGAACATGGGATTGTGAGTATGTGGGAAGTGGGCAAACTTCATACTTGGCATAATGAATTATGTTTATGTGTCAGTGCAGAACTGAAGGGAAACACACAACTTACTTTTAGTTAGGTGCCGGTTCACAGGAGGACATTAGATGGAGGAGAGCTGCACAAATTACACAGATGCGATATTTTAACCTGAGTGACACAGGGCAGGTGATTCAAATCACTGAGCACACAGAGCAATGAACATGAACATAGATCTAGAGTCCATAGAGAGGTCATGGCCAAGAGAAGATTACAGGATCAACATTCAAGGAACCAACAAATACAATAGAAAATCATTGTGTGAAGACTGAGGGTATCACAGGGCAGAGTAGCTATTTGGACAGAATTTATAGTAGCTACACATAAAAGACTAGAATGGTAGTAGGGCGCATACCTCTACCAAGGCCAAACAATCTTATACATGTCTGTGAGATCCAGATTTTTTTCTGGATCTGCACCAAATTTTACAACACCATACATCTATCTGATTTTTTACATGAAGATCCATACATTATTTCCTAAGAAATTAATGATATTCTTGAAAAATGCCCTGGCTTGCAATGTTTGGGTAAGTGATAAAACATTCTGTCCCTTCAACCAAATTGGCACCAACATTTAATGAGTTCATTAATGGACCATCCCCCATCACTCCACCAAGGTTGGTGTAAATCAGTTAAGTGCTTTTTGTGTAATCCTGCTGACAAAGAAACAAACAAAGAAACACAGAAACACAGAAACAAAGAAAGAAAGAAAGGAACAAACAAACAAACAAACAAACAAACATGAGTAAAAACATAACCTCCTTGGCAGAGGTAATAAGGCTGCAAGAATTGCATCCTTGTTGTCTTAAATGCTGAATTTAATCACAGTGTCACAGAAATGCTATCTGAGTTTAGTCAAAGGGGGGGTCCTCAAACACCAAGATTAGCTGCGCTGTGTAAAGTAAACCAAATTTCTTTCTTTCTAACAAAGAATCTCTACTTGTGGAATCATTTCCTGTCAAGATTAATTATTTATTGGATTACTTCTCAATGTGGTCATCACATTTACATATTTATGGACAAATCTTTTCTCTTTCTTTATTAAACCTTGAATATTCTATGTGTGATTCTCCATATCTGTATTCTTCTGTGTCCAAATGTTTTATTCTTTCTACTCTCTGTGTTTACTGGTTTCTAGAATTTGGATGCATTGATATTGAAGATCTTCCTCTCTACGAACTCTATTTCTATGTTCAAGTTGATTGCTCTGTGAGCTCTCTGATTTGATTCACCTGCCTTATAGTCTATATAGGTCAGCCAGATGCTTTCTGGGACTTTTTTTTCTCCCCTGCCTTTAAGAACACAGAAGTAGTGAAGTGTTACTTCACAGAACTACTATGATGCTTTATGTGATCACTATTTTGCTCAAGTAAACAACCTGAACACAAATGTGGATGGCTTACCCCTGGAGACACCAGGGGTAAGTCAAACACCATAACTAGGCCTTTTTTATTTGCCATTCACTGATTAGAAGATGGTGACGAAGTAACCTAAATTTCTCAATGCAAAAATGCAGAGCTAAGGTGAGGAAACAAGGCAAATCATTGAAACAAATATAACAAAAAGTCGCTCCCTGACCACTCAAAAACAGATACTTTGCCAGCAAAACAAAACCTGTCTACTCTACACTTGCTTAAAAATCAAATACAAAGGAGACAACCATCTACCTAATACCCTACCCAACACTTTAACCCCTATAACTTCACATTTTCTCCATGTGAAGTTCGACTGACTGTGGGACAGAACATAATCGAAAAATCACAAGTTAACAATTCACAATATGTCACTAATCTAAGTCAACAGCATGTGTTAATATTTGAAATTCATTAACTCTGGTCTGGTCCATGCTCATAAAATATTTTGACTAACATGCAACTGTGATAATGAAAGACATCTGGAGTTGCATCACTAGGGATTTATTAAATATATACTGACAAATTTTTGGCCTTTCGTGGCTCATAACCCCCAAGTTCTCATGTACCTTGCAATTATTACTTTTTGTAGCTTTTTCTTCTTTTTTTATTTTTATTTTTTTGCAATCGTTTGTGGCTATAAAAACCATGAAAACAGATTTCTGCTGTACACATGAATAAAATCAGTGGGTAGCGCATGCCTGTTCACCTGCAACCCGTCACTTAGATGACAAATTCATTTTAGTCCTAACATGGTGAGAAAATTGAAGTTACAATTCGGCACCACTTGCTCCAAGGG